GCTGCTGTTGCCATTCCTGGCAACTCAATGAGAACCGAGATAGCGGAAAAACAGAGAAAATATTTCAGGCAAAATTCCGTCCATCGAAGATCGAACGGAAGCTGCCGGTGCAGCCAGGAATTTGCATAACTGATGGGAAACTTTCAAATAGAAATTGGACCCGCCCCAACAGAACTCCATCTCATCTCTCATTTGATCCGTGTTTATATTGTGGATACTTAAATAAGAGTAAAACTCTGAAATTTTAGAACAATGTTGGAGCTATTGTTGTTCCAAATTTAAATTAATTTTCCAGTAGAAAGTTGTATGGAAAAATTAATTTATCTGCGGTATATGTGCTGGAGAATTTTTACAAATTCAAATTGCAAATTCTTTCTCGTTGGGAGCAAGCAATTTATCTGTGCAAATCATTTAAGTCTTCACAAATTAAATGTTTCTTAAATAAATAGCATTAGTAGAGTGATTACTGCTCCGCCATTTCTCGCAGTGTGGCAGACACAAACACCAATTAGTCTCTTACGCAGTTCGATGGCTGCACTCCATCCTTATCGGCACTCCTTGGCCGTTTGCTCCTTTCTCTACTTTGAGCCAAGTGTGGTTCTTGACTTATCTGCATTAACCCACAGAGCAGACAGAGAGAGAGAGAGAGAGAGAGATAGAGAGACACAAAGTGTGTTGGACGGGCCGGTTGGGGGATGCTGCTCGAAACAATGGAGAAGGGAAATTGATGTGAGCTCCGTTTGAGATGTCGAAATGAATTGAAATGAAATGGAACGTGACCAAATTTGGCCACATGTCAATATGCTAATGATGATGTGGCACTGCCAGCAGTGACGCCGCAACCCACCAATCCACTGTCCTCCCCTCTGTAGCTGCTGCTGCTTTGTCTCTTTCTCTCTGTTTCTATCACTTCACTTTCCATCGCTTTTCTCCTGTAGTTTGGTTTTTGCAACGTCGCTGCGTGAAAAGGCTCCAAGCTAGGCGACACACACACACAGCCTGGACGACAGCCTGGAAGATGATGTGCAGAGAAGAGTGAGCGAGAAAGAAAAAGAGAGAGGGTAGAGGATAGTGGATAGTGGATAGTGACCAGAGCCAGGGTACTGGCCGTGGACCCTATGCTGGATAATTGGCGGCCCGAAACGAATTGAAATGGGAAATGGCAAATAAATTGAATGAAACGTGTATCGCACCCACTGGGAAAATGGACACAGTCTGAAAGGGAGAGCGCAACAGGAGAGAGAGAGAGGGAGGGTGAGGGAGCAAGAGTGAGGGGAGGAGCGTGTGTCAAGGGAGTGTGGCGGCGACTGCGGACAGGTGGGCATTGCCGTGCAGGGCGTGGCCCTGTCGGCCGACGTGTCGCGCTGTACCTGTTGACCGCAAAGTGGCATTTCCCTTCCACATCCGCAATATCCACTACTCCCTCCGCCACCCCTTCCACTATTTTGCGCTCATTAACCGTTTGATGGCGCTTCAACAAGATTGCAATGAAGTACCGAAGTACCAATCCCTTTTTGAGTATTTTATTAGGCAAAAGACTACCAGAGTGACTCGTGGAAAATAATTTAAAACATTGTTACCATTGCTCGATGGATGCTTTTCGCTCGCTTTTGCTTCATTGCCAACTGATTTTTTTACCCGGTACTCAAGGAGTAAAAGAGTATATTGCAGGGATGGTAATCATTATAAGCGGTATAAAAAAAAATTATACGATAATGATTACCTGTCAAGTTATATCGAAATATTCACAATATAATGATTAATTTTGAGTTATATTTTACTACTCAATCAATAATGAGCAAAAAAGTAAAACTGAAGGAATAATAATTATTCGTAGAGTTTTATTTTTTGCTCAAAAATAAAAGTCAACTTTAAATTTTGACTCCATCTTACCTAGAAAATGGAAAAGTTATATTTATTGTTCATCAGTGAGACAAGAGCAACCGTATTACAAACAAAAATTTCATTTATTTATATAAATTGATATAAACTCTGCAACGACTCTGTGGATAGGTTGCACCTCAGATCGAAAAGAACTAAGCTAAGTGCAGAAAAGACTCTTTCCACACTGACTTGCGTTGCAGGAGCAGATTGCACAACTTTTGCCAATTGGTAAAAAATCGGATAGTGGTACTTCTTTTGTTCCCAATATTGCATTATATTTGTACTTAATTCGATCGGTTTTGGGCTATAATTGTCTATTTCACGCGATAAGAATGACCAAAGCAACTGATGCACCAATGCAACTAAGGTTTGACTTAAGATAAGCTTTAAGGTTACCTTCATAAATCATAATTTATTTCATATGCATAAACCACTTTATACCATGTACCACATTCACAACTCTTTTTAAGGCTCTTTCCGTATTTCGAATAAAGCAATTGATAGCTTTTTGAACAGACTGGAATGTAAGCATTATAAACCCGAAATCATATTATCACATTTGCATTACATCTTCTTCTTTCGTATCAAAGCTTGACTCTATTGACCCGTTCCAGGCGACCCTTTCATGAAAAAGAGCTAGATGGAATGAAAAATAATTTCTCATGTTAAATTTGGGTGACGGAAAGCTGCGCACTACTATTTCATTGTACACAGCTGTATGTACGAACATACAGGATAATCATAGCCAAGAGCAGCCTCACGCATAAGAGGAAGACGATCTCTTATCTTTAGGCGCAGCCTTTAAGAAAACATTCATTGCTTATGTTGTTGATGAACTCATTAGCCGAATATGGCTGCCCACTTTTCTTAAGAGCAAAAGCTGCTTTATGCAAAATTCAATATTAAATGAATATGTACATACATTTATATAAATAAATTGCAATTTTAATTAATTTTAATTTTGAAACAAAATTTTTTTTTATTATGGTTGCTCTTGTCTCACTGATGAATAATAAATATAACTTTTCCATTTCCTAGGTAAGATAGTCACAATTTAAAGTTGAGCATTTTTGAGCAAAAAATAAAACTCAACGACTAATTATTATTTCTTGAGTTTTATTTTTTTTGCTCAAAACATAATCATTATTCATTGAGTAGTAAAATATAACTCAAAAAGTTATCATTATATTGTGAGTATTTCGATATTACTTTAACACACTTAAATCATGGTGGAAATGTATAGAATATCCTTTAAGATGAATATTGGCAAGTGAATGATTTTTATACCCGGTACTCGAAGAGTAAATAAGGTATATTGTATTTGTGGATAGTAACGGTTGTATGTAAAGCACAGAAGGAAACGTTTCCGACTCCATAAAGCATATATATTCTTGATCAGCATCAATAGCCGAGTCGATAGAGCCATGTCTGTCTGTCCGTCTGTCCGTCTGTCCGTCTTGTATGTCGGCTAGTTCTCAGAGACTATAAGAGCTAGAGCCACCAAATTTTGGCTCCGGACTGCTATATGCTCACACTGAAACCAGTGTATTTAAAAAATTAATTAACAATTTTGAAGATAAAAGAAAACTCCGTAGGGAATGGCCATATCTATCAGATCCCCAAATTGGGATCCGATTGGATCATTATTATAGCCACAATGAAGAAATGAATTTCCAGTGGCTAAACCCACCCTTTCCCGCAGCTTTTGTTGTTATTTTTACATTCTCTCATTCACACTCTGCTTCTGCTTCACTCGGCCTCTGCCTCTGCCCTCCGCCTGCCGCTTCCTCTGCTGACTTTGCGGAAGTGCGGAAGTAGTACTAAGTGCCGGGTATAAAAGTTGTGACGCGGAAGAATCGTCTCACGTCCAGACGTTTGTCTTTTTTTGTCATCCTGCATTGTTTTCCCATGTTGGAGCGTTGGGCTGTGGGTTGCCCGCACAAAGGCAACAAAAGATAGATTGAGAGTCAGGGGTGAGAGATAAAGAATTAATTTTGCGCAAATACGCTTACATGTTGCGTAACATTCGGAGCGCCAGTTTGTAGTCCACTTCACTCCCCTCCGCTCCGCTCCGAAATTTCCATGCATATTCCATGCAAGCGAATGGCTGAACAAAGAGGAGGCTCATGGGTTGGTTTTGCTAGTGAGCGTGTGTCTGACTAGTCTGGTCTGGTTGCTGCATTAAGCGTAAGCTGCAACAAATGAGTGAGAGAGTGCCGGCACTAACAATGGGAATCGAGCAAAAGTCCCTGCAGAACAATGACAATTTGCTGACGTTGACAGTTCACAGTTTCCCCAAAACGAATGCCGTTACATAGGGAATGTGCCATATGGACACAGAGATACCTATTGTTGTTGGTATAAAATAATCTGGATCTAAACGTAAAGCGGGAATTGTTTTTTCGCAAAAACTTTTAGCCATCCTCCGTTCTTGTTTTCTTTTTGCTGCCTTTCTACATATGTACATTCATATCCAAGACTGCCAATCTACCCTCTGCTACTTTACAATTACTGTGCGTGTTACGAAGCGTATGCCACTTTTCCTCTTGTGGCTAACCCCATGTACCTTAATTAACACGCTAAATATTTCGTTAATCAAACATTCCATTCAGTTCCATGCACAAGGACCCCTGGCATGCACATCATCCTTCAAATGCTCTCTCCTTACAATCCTTTTGACGCAAGACTCACGTGGTGGTAAAAGTTATGCAGATATTCGGATGTGCTGCACTCTGAGTACATATTTCACTGTGGATCTTTCTCTTTAGGTGTTGTTTGGCATCGATTTGTAATTACCCGCCACACACACACACAACCACACAGATGGCTGGCACACACGAGTATCCCTGGCCCTGACACCACCTGCCACTTATCTGGCCGCCGCATAGACTAACTGGTTGACTGACTTAATTGCAAATTGCATTATTTATCGGGTGGCAAAGTTCGTCAAACTGCAGCATCCACAGGAAATGAAAGGAGAGCAGAGAAAAACAGAGCAGGGGAAAGCAAATGGAAGTTCCAAAATCACCTTTGCCATCCAACCAGCCAGTTTTTTACAGAGCAGCCAAGCTAGACGAGCGCACTCGTAATATTTATTTAAAAACACCCTGTAATAATTTGGGATACATTTCTGTGTATACGTTTATTTTGACAATTGAACTATATTTTCAAGTCTCGGCCATCTAGAAATAGGGCGATGCCAGACATCAGCTTATTGCCCAGCCTGCGGATGTTGTTGGCATCATGGGGCGTGGTCAGGGCCACGATGGGCAGGCGGAATACTTTGCCGCACGCATTCGAGCACTCAATATAGGGGCGAGGGTACTTAATGACTGGTATTTTGGCTTTCTCGGCGTAGTGATAAATCTCAGATTTCTTCTGCTTGGACGTCTGGCGAGTGACGATGACCACCTTGGAATGGTGCTTGCGAATGCTATACATCAAGTTCTTGTAGCTGCGAAACACCTCAGAGCAGTTCACCTTCACGGAAATGCGAATATTATCACGCACCAAATTGCCGCTTCCGGCTGCAAATGGAAAAAATTTTAACAAGGCGGAGGAGTATTTCTATTTTACATACATTTCTTTCGATTCCCAATCGGTTTCTTCTTGATATCCTTGTTGGTCGAACTTTGTGGTGGCATTGGAGGGCGCGCCACCTCTTTTCTATCAACGAAACCGGCAACTTATTCACTAATTTTCACTACTTTACGCATTAACTTACTTTGTGTTCTTTTTTTCTGGCTTTTTTGGTTCCATTTTCTTCATTTTCTCTATATTCGATGTGCTAGTCCGAACAATTTGCAATCAAATGAGTTTTCAATGAAGTATAGCATTCGTGACAAATGATCATAATATCAATGCCTACTTGATGTTCATGTTGCTGACTCAGTGCAGTGTTGGTAAACATTGCGGAAGTTCGTATAGGGTATTCCATATTCTGCATATGGTACACATACACACAAGAAAACCTAACCTATTTATGTCACCTGGTCAGCTGCACCAAAGCTGTCTCTTACTCGTGGCTCTATCTCAACGTCTCAGCCGACCTCCCTGTGGGGCAGTGCTTGTGCGAGGACATCCTCGCACAATGCACTGTGGAACCAATGACCAATTTTTGTGTCCATTGGTATGCACTGGACAAGGCAACCATTTTCTTTGTTCAAATGAACTACAAGAATTTATATTAATTCTTACCTCGTATAGCCATGCACCCTGTCAGCCGTTGCCCAGTGATTGATGGGCCACCAATTAATGAAAGCAAAGTCAGTTTCAAATAAGACGCTGAGCTTAGATGCTTTGATTAGACGCCTAACACCAGTGGGAGTTGCAGGAAGGGATCCTCAAAAACCTTAAATTTTAAATATGAATTTTCATCACGAATGAATACTTGTTTAGCGATGAGAAGTTTCGATGAGCAATATTAGACTAAAACACATTAGCAAGTAGCAAGTCTTCCATGTTGAAGGAGAAATTGAAATCAGCATGTGCCTCTCACTAGCGAACAGCTCTGTTATAAAACTTACAACTTAACAGTGGTGTTCCCTGCGTTATTTAGCTGCCAACTTAACAGTGGTGCACTCTGTTAAACCTTGTACTAGGTAACATTAAGGATAACTGCTTTTTCGGCTTTTTCACGTTTTTTGGTCAGTAAATGTAGTCTCTGGTGCCGTGTTGGGTTGCAGGGGAGTGGGTGGTACGCAGCGATGGGTGCTGAAAAGTATGCTACGCTTTGCGCACCTGGCACATAATTGAGTGACAACGTGGTCTGAAACATTTGCCATGCGGACAGCGTCAAGTGGTGGCTAGCGCAGGGAGTGAGAGCAAGAGCGGTAGAGAGCGAAAGAGGTGGACAGGCAGGTGGCAGCTGTGGACAAGGCAAGAGGGCAACCGGGTAAGGACAGCGCTCATGCAAAACATTTGAATTTGTAATGAGATTCCACACGGAGCCCCAGCCGGAGCCACAGAACAGAGAGATATGTATGTATGGTCGCCAGGCCTGCCAAATGAAATGTGTGGCAGTATACCATACCGCACCATCTCTCTCTCTCTCTCACACACAGTCTTTGCCTTCCTCTCGTTCTCTCTCTCTCTCTCCCTCTGTCGTTGTCGCTGTGTGTCATGCCCTTTGAGGGAGCAGGAGCAGTGAAACTGTTAATTGTGGCCATAATTAAGGTGACCCCGAACCAGTTGGCCATACGCAAAACGTGACGAGCTCATTAATTTCAAATGCTTTATTTGCCTTCAATGGATAGGGACACCATTCTCTCTCTCTCTCTCTCTCTTTCTCTCTCTCTCTTTCTCTCTCTCTATCTCTCGTATTCTCTTTTGCCATGCATATACGGCCATCTCTCTTGCTATCTCTTGGACCTCTTTCTTTCTTCACTTTACACTGTATCCCTCCTGTCCAAGCAAAGTTTTCGTTTGCCATAATTTTACCCTCTGCAAGCTGGAGGATTGGGAAATATTCCATTCTGGATCAGCAACGAAAAACTATGATAAATGATTCAATCATTGTAGATTCAACCTTTGCCGAAAAAGCTCCAAATCGATACATTTTCAAGGGTATCAAATGTGTCGTTTCCAGCAGCCTGAACTCGCCAGTTGAGCCGAGATATGATGACGACTGGGAACGACGACGACGAAGACGACTATCATGATGATGATGATGACTTCAGGACGTTGTTAGCGTTTGTGTTGCCACTTGGCTGCTTTATGTCATTGCTGGTTAAGCGATGCGTCTAATTTGCAGCTGCTGCCGCTGCTTCTGCTGCTGCTTTTGCCTCCCAGCCGGACTCTGACTTCGTGTCACCAGCTCAGACTCTGGCTCTGGCGCCTCGACAGAATTTGCATTTTGCACAGCCCGAAGCCCGTTAGAAAAATGCTAAAAGATGGAATATAACAACAACAAAATCAGCGAAAGAAAAACAACACAAATGCTGCTTGAAGCGCAAAACAATTGTTCATTAAGTTTGGGTCTGGGTCCTGGTCCTGGTGGTGGTCGTGGTTCTTGGCAAATAGTAAATGGTACTCGTGGCGTCGACTGCCTGTTGACTGCCACCTGGATCCATGACGACACTCCGACACACCTCCCCTAACCGCGTTGCTCGTTAATTTCAGCATTTCCGCTAGCAATTTTCAGACAGCTTTCCTCCGCCGTCTGTCCTTTGCATTCGTGGCGTTGGCTGCCTGCAACCGGAAATGCAGGAAACGGATATTACACGCTCCAGAAAGCACCAGGGGTGTGGTGTCTGTTAAGGGTGGGGCGGCTGGCATAATATGAAAGAGATATGACTTTTGATGATTTGCCACTGCCGCTGTTGCTGTTGCTTTTGCCTTTGGCTTTGTCGTTGCTCCTGTTGCAATTTGATGCATTTTCCGTGTTTAGACAGCTGCCTCAAAAGTTGTCCTCGGTGTCGTCCTTACCGCTTGCACTCACCTTTTCTTCGGTTTTTTTCCTTTTATCTTATCTTCCCCCACACACACCCACCCACTCATCCCTCTTTTCTGTCACTCCATCCACCGCTCTCGCCAAATGCAGCGGCAAACTGAAAACGCAATTGGAGCGTGGCACAGAACGAACGCGAACGACGAGGAGGAGTCTGAATTTCTATACGTACCTTCTGCTAAACGATACGTTTCGTACCGACACTATTTTAGAGTTTGCATTGCTCATTTTTCATGAATTTGGGTGGTGGATGAGGTTTCGTGTAGCTCATGGTACGTTCCTCCATCAACACCACCGCTGGCTGGCCCTGTATTTTTTTTCTCTGCTTCCCCTTGTCTGACGCTCTGTGGGCCCCCATGTTTTCCTCTTTTTTAGCAGTGGAGGGGCTTCCCTTTTTGCCTGTTCAATTGTTGGGAAAATGAAATTATTGCAAGCCAGCAGAAAAGCAGTTTGCCGAGTAGGGTGCGAGTGGTGGAACGGCACGGAGGAGAAGGGCACGATGTGGGTATGGGCGTGCTTTGGCAGCGTGGAATCAGGTCACAGATGAAAAAGAGGATTTAGCCAAGATGAATTGATTTGCCACTGCTGCAGTGGAGTACTGCTGACTGCTCCAGCAGCAAACAAAAATTCGGCTGTTCCTCTGGGCCACGCGAAATGAAAAGATTCGCAAAATGCGAAATATTGTTTTTGTAAGATTTCGTTTGTTTTATTTTGTATTTGTTACTCTTTTGTTTTTTGCTGTTTTTATTGAACATAATAATTTGTTGTTTTTGTTCTGTTAAGTTTCTTGTTTTAATGCTTGCTCACTTTCGCTTCTGGTTGGGTTTTATTTTGTTGTAGCTTAAATTTAATTTGAAATTTTCGCCCGACTCAAATTACCGTTCGTGGAATTTTAGTTGTTCTTTAATTTATAATTTTAGTTTTTCTTTTGGCGTCTGTGTGTGTGTGTGTTCGTCTGTGTGTGGGTGTAAACTTATTTTTTTAGAATTGTAGCGTATTTGTAAATTTAATTTTAATATGCATAAATTGTTGTTTTTACCCATCGCTATTCATTATTTTTTGTTTTATTTCTTCGTATCGACTCTATGCATTCATCCTCTCTTCTTTCCAGTCACTTTCACTCGCTGAAGGTCAATCTCTTCTATCCTTAATTAATGTGCACTTTTCACTTTTTATTTGTTGGTTGTTCTGGCATTTAGTATGCCTCGCAATTTTTGCAAAAAAAAAACATACTTTGATTTAGATTTATCTTTAAATATTTATATAAATTGTTTCGTTTAGCAATATTAATGAACATTTATTATATTTTATCATTTTCCATTTGTGTAATTCGTATTTTGTCGGTTTTTTCTTTGTTTTATTTGTCGCTGAATATTAATTAAATTGTAATTTCTGTCATCCAGTTTGGCTTTCATTTCTTTTTTGTAAGTCTGTTATTTAACAATGTTGACAAAATATGCATCATGCTTGTCCACATAAATATATATTTATGCAGTATTTTGTGTGTGTGTGTGTGTGTGTGTGTGTGTGTGTGTGTAATGCGATTAGAATCTCCCTCTGCATGTGAGTGAGCCTGTGTGTTTCTGTGTTAGCTTCAACCGTTAACCTTTATGTTTTTTTTTCATTGTTTTGCTTTGCGATTTTCATTAATTTATTGACTAATTTGTTAAAATGCCTTTCAATATTTTCCATACCATTCCTTCGTTATGTGTAATTAATTATATGAAATAATCCTTGCCCGTGCATGAGTACTCGTTAGATCTTAAATATCCAGTTTTAAGTATTATATTTGTTTTTTTTTTTCATTTTGTTTAGGCTTTTGGGTTGGGGTTTCTCATCTCTCATTTGCAGTTTTTGCCTTTTCTCATATTGTATAAATTTAAAATTGTCAGCCATTTGTTGTTTGTTCTTTTAACAAAAACATTATGTAATTTATGTAAATTTAATGCTTAGGTTGAACACGACTAACTCGTATCGTAATCCATTATCCGATATTCATTATCCGTTATCAATTATCATTTGCTCTCATTTTGATGCTCCATTATTCCCCCGTGCTCGAAATGGTCGCTCGACCATATCTTTCTCTCTTTCTCTCTCATCGCTAAGTTCTATAAAAAGTGCATAATTAAAAATTGTTGGCCTTCGCAGCTAATATACTTTCGTCTGTCTGTCATTTGTTTTCTTTCGTCTGTAGCATATGTTAATAGCTTAGAGTCTAGCTCTTATATCTCATATCAGATATCAGATACATTTAAGTACATATATTTATGTATAGATTATGTGTACATACGCACAAGGATGCGCCTCTGTGAGCACATACACACGAAAAAAAAGCTAGTTACTGCTCAGCGTTGCTGTTAGCCATCAGTGTATTCCCCTCACACAGCGTTTTCTGTTCATTTCATTTCATGTATTTTTCTATTCTTTAATTTGATTTGAATTCATACTCTCCTCTGGCATCTGGCATCTGGCATCTGCCGTCTGCTTCTGTCCGTCTGTTCCTCTGTCTTATTTTGGCTGCTGCTGCCGAATCTCGTTTTAAAATACATACCTTTAGGCTAGGTTCTTTTTGTGGGCTTATGTACAACATTAAAATTACTAATAGTTGTAATTTTCCAGCTCAATATTTTATTCAACGCATACGAAACGAACAACGAAACAAAAATGCGAAATGTGAATAAAGAACAAAGCAACAATTGGTGTGCCTGCCATTTGGATTACGATTTAATGTATATCATTGTAGTCCTTTCATCTGGTATTTGCATAAATGGCTGGCTCCTTAAATACAAGTATGTACACAAACACACACAAGCACACATCAAGAGAACAAACGAGAACGGAATATCGAGTATTCATTTCGTGTGTACTCTGCCATATTTAAGGATTAAAATATTCCATTTGTGGCATGTATTTGTGAATTGCTTGATTTCGCTTATGTAAAAAATAAAGTTTAATTCATGACACTCACGCACAAGCACAGAAAATCATACAAACACACACACACACACACAGTTGTAAAAGTTAATAAATTACTTGAAGCAGAAAACGATGCTCTGCTCTTGCTCCTAGTTGACGATCTTGAAGCAAGTTTGAGCCCTTCACTTAAAGTGCACAACTTTTCCTTTAGACGGATCGAAAACAGACAAATAAAAAAAATATATATATTATTGCATATAGCATGGGAGGGAGGGTTTTGTTTTATAGCTGGACTTGATTCAATTTCGCTTTTTGCGCGTTTACAACCGAACGAACGTGTTTCGTGTTCCATTAATCTCTATTCATTTGCATACTTGAAGTACTATCATTATTATACTCGTAGTAATCCTTTCCATCACCGATAATTATTATTATAAATATTATTATTATATATACAAATCTATTCGGTAAGTGCCAGAGTGGTGCGCCGTGGATGGATTGTGGTTTTGGTTTTAGTTTTAATTTTGGTTCGAAAATCAATGGCCAAAGCAAACAAGAGTCAAACAATGGCTTGTCTTCCAGACAATCGTGACCCAAAGAGTTTCACAAAAATACAAATACAAATATGGTAAGTAGTCTACTAACAGTATAAAAAAAAACTTTCTTCTGGACGTACATGATTGTGGCGGGGAGGGAAAGCCAATTGTGTGTGTGTGGGAGGAGGGGCTAAGCTAATTTTGGACGCTATTACACATGTTTCTCCCTCTCTATTTCACTTGTACCTAAAACAACTGCGGAATCAAGTAGAATTAGATAAAATAATGGCCTGCTCTTATTACTACTAATCAATCGAGGTTTCCTTCTCGTATTTCCCCGTGGTTTTATCCCCCTCTTTATTTTAAGACAAGCGAGTGGCGTGCTTCTTGGCGTATGCGTGATATTTTCGTTTGTGGGTAGAACCAGAACAAAATGTCTGCCATTCGGTTGGATAAATGTATGCGTATAATTTATTTATTCATATTCATTTATGTATTTTTATGTGTGGCTCGTTTTTAGCAGTGCTGTGATAATTTAGGGGATTTTTAGATTTAGTTTTGCGGAGCTAAGAATTAGTTTTAGTTTAGCTACAAATACCTATACGTGTGTCAGTGTGTATGTGTGCGTGGGTGTGTTATTAAAATTCCGCTCTTTATTATTTCACTCTGTCACAATGGCAATGGCTATGCGCTGCACTTCCTAAGCTCCTCCTTTCTTAGTTATCGCCCATACTAGCTGCTTGTAGATGTATTTGTCTAGTATGTCTGTGGGTATATCTTTGTGTGTGTGTGTGTGTGTGTGTGTGTGTGTGTGTGTGTGTGTGTGTGTGTGTGTGTGTGTGGCCCAGAGAACTAACGCTATAATTAAAAATTGGCTTTATTTCCTTGCTCTTTGCTCCTCCATTCCCGCATTCCTACTTTTGGCCGCTTTAGTTTCATTCTATTTTTCCGCTATCCTTACGCTTCCCTTTCCACTTCCTTCCGCTTCGGCTTCTCTTCGTTCTCTAATTGCGTTTTTTAGGTTTTGTTTGTTATCGATTTAATTTGTTTTTATTTTCCTTGCGAACTTTTGCTACATTAGTTGTTATTATAATAATGCATGTGGGGAATTAGCTGTAGATTTACTTGTAGATTTTATATATTTTTATTTTATGAACTGCTTATTGCGTTTTATAAACACTAACTTCACTTGTCTTATTTCAACTACTTACTTAAGCCGCATCCGCATTCTAAGCATCTCCTAGCTTCTTTATCCTTTATCATTTCCCTCTTCTTTTGCGTTTCTCCTTTCCCCTTCTATACTCTCTGTCGCCATTTCCATTGCCATAACTTAACATACAATTCGTAATTCTAGTAAAAAAAAATGTTATCTTTTCTTTTTTTTTAATTTTCTTTTTTGTTTTCGACCAACGCACAATTATTACTAGAAAAAAAAACCATAGTGTTTGCTTACTAGCCTAAAGTTTGTAAAGGTCTATAGAAAAAAAAAAACGATCATCTCACGCTGCTGCTCTCCCTCTCTGCATCCATCACCCCCTCCATTCATCATATTTCTTTAAGTACATCTTTCAGCGTTCGTTTACTTTCTCCTATGCGGGCATCTTAGAGTGTTTGCTCTCCAGGGATTGGAATGTCAGTGACTGGGATTATTAGTAGCGCTGCTGGTACTCGTGGTGCCAGCGATTGAAGTCGATGTGGAATACAATGATGGAGCCCGTGGAGAGTCCAGCCAGCAGGTATCTAAACACATTCGAATCAAGGTGGAAATAGAGTGGAAAATTTCATAGAAAATAAGCCATTAGGTAATGAAATTGAAGGACTTATCGATGCTTAGCTTTTTTTTGTATTGGGTGTTTTCTGGTACTCACTTTTGATCGTGTGTCAAGGCCAGGGATCGTATGCCCGCATTGCATGCGGGGAAGGCATACAGTGGTGCTAGGTTAAAGGTGCGCCACACCTCCACAATGCCACGATCGCCTGCTGTCATCAGGTATTCGCCATCGCGCGACAGCAGCATGCACTTTAAGAGAGAGAAAGAATAATTATGTGATCAATATAAGATATAGAATAAGATTTTATAGAGCTAAAATTGACTGATAAATTATGATATATGCAGATAGTACCTGCAGATTGTCGTTGTGCGTCTCATGGCGTAACTTCTTGCCATTGATGGTGTAGGCGGCCACATTTCCCTTGTCGTAGTTGATCACAATGAAGCCCTCGCGGGACATGGTGATCAGCTCCGGGGAATGGAACTCCGATGGCGGATCCAGCGAACGCAGCAAATCCCCGAATGTCGTGTGTATGAGCACGGGACCATCTGGAAGATAGAAGAGGTGAAGCAAATGGTTAAGATTGCATTCTCGCAGGCGTACTCCTGCTCATGTAATACTTACTTGATGAACCAGAGACGACTAGACCCAGCTCGGCGCTAATCACCACCGATGTGACGGCCTGCTCGTGGCCCGTTAGCGTGGCACGCGGTGTGGGCACATCGCCCTCGCCCACAATGCTTTGGGTGCGGGCATTCCAGTGCCACAGTAGCACCGTGCAGTCCGCCGATCCAGAGGCAATGTAGCAGTCCGATGTGATGTTGCACTCCGACCGAGCCATGCAAGTGACCACGCCAAAGTGTCCGAACACAATCTGCACGATTTTCGCTAGAAGAAAAAGAGACAGAGGGAACAGAGGCACAGTTTTGGATCGCTCTCTGTGGGGGAAAGTATGGCTTACCCGTTTCGGTGGCAAAGACGCGGAAACTGTTGTCCCAGAAGCCGCAGGCAATCAGGAAACGGCTGTCCACCGTGGTGACAAAGCAGTTGGAGCGAATCTTTAGCATTTGGCTAAAGTTGTCGCCCAAATGGCGTCGGCTCACCGCATTGCTATTGTTATTGGCTCCATGAACAGCTATAGAATAGGGGGAGAGACGATAAAGTGCCACTCTGGCTCCAAGTGTAGCGAGTGGTACTCACCCAGAACCGGATCGATGGTCAGCGGCTGGTTGGAACCGGGCGATTGGGGCGACTCAGCATAGCTGGGACTCTGGACGGATGCGGTGTAGTTGCAGTTCCATCGATTGACCGCAAACTGATGGCCGGCGGTCACCGTGACGACAGAGGGCAGCGACAGCTGTGGATACGTGTTGGCCGAGATGTGGATGACGGGCGAGTTCTGGTAGAACTTGAGCATTTGGCACAGATCCTCGGGCATCGCGCTGAACATCATCGGGGAGAGATGCATGGCAGAGCTGCGCGGCGGATGGGGCTCCATCAGCAGCTGGCTGGGCGTCTGCCCAAAGTTGCGGATCTGATTTTCGACAGCCTCACGCATCACCGGATCGAGGATGCCGTCAAGATCGACGCTTCCCTCGTAGGTCAGATAGTAGAAGACATTGGTGGCCCGAATGGCCTCCGGTCCGCGCTGCTTGTAGCCGAATATCAGATCGATCCACTGGTGCAGCTGGCACGAGACGAACTCCGACTCCAATGCCATGCGATTGATACGCACAAACTCCTCGGGGCTCTTGGCCCACGGCGGTAGCTCGATGTCGTCCACCAGGGCCCCATCCTCGCGGTGTCCCAGCCTATAGCCGGACGCATTGTAGAACATCTCTGGCAGGAAGTACCACTCAGGTATCAGCTCCTTCACATCGGACGTATCCCGCTGGCAGTTCTTCCACGACAGCGACACGGACGAGAACAGCCGGTCGGGATAGTCGAACTTGCCGCCCTGCAGCGCCAGGAACATGGTCGTGAAGGGCTCCACGCGCACCAGCCAGTTAAGGGTGAAGGCCGCTGTCGAGTAGTGGGTGCCGTAGTGGAAGGGCGGAATGGTGTCGCTGTCCCAGCTCTCGTATCGCTCCTCGAAGTAGGCGCGACGCGATGGATTCAGCGCACCGATCGGCTTCGACAGATCCCTGTAGTTGGAGGGCAGGCTGAGGTCCAGGTCCTTCGACTCGTAGTTGGTCAGCACCCAGGGGAAGATCGGGTACTGATTGAGGTCGTTGTACGTCCGCCCCGCGATCGTATTGAGGAACATCAAATACTCAAAATTGGAGATCTCGCGCCGCTGCCATTTCTGCGTCATGTTCGAATTGCGCATCAGTTGACGCGGTGACATCATTGAGGCGCGACGGGTCTGCGGTATGCCGTACTTGATGCCGACGCCGACACGTGGCAGAGCCTTAATCACCTTCTTGACGGTGTGCTGGTCGGGGAAGGCGAACAGGATGGAGGTGCGGCTCGCGAGGAATATCTCCAGGGCGACATTCTGCAGCAGGTAGCGGCGCGAGAAGATCGCACGCACCTCCGAGAAGTACCACTTGCCGTGCAGATGGTCACAGTACTTGAGCACCTCGCCATCGATCTTCTGGAACTCTGGATGCTCCTCGTCCACCTCGAAGAACATCTCCGTGCTGGTGATGGACACGGTGCCGGGTGCCACCAGTCCGGGCGCAATCAGACGCGCCTTCGTGCTGATGTTCACCGGTCCCGTGAGATCCAAGTCCAGTTCCCGGTCCTCGATCAGCAGCTCGGCGTCGTCCAGCAGCTCCCCGTTGTGCTGGGCAGACGGATGGGATCGCGAGACGGCGATCTGAGTGTGGAATTCGTCACGCGTCTGCAGGATGGCATCCTCGGGGCCCCCATTCTCCAGGGCCGCCTTCAGCGTGGCCTGCGGATGGGAGGAGCCGCGTGGATTCTGCACCATCCGCTTGCGCCGGCGGGCATCATCCTCCCAGGCATCGAGTTTCCAGTAGGTGCCCTTTTGGACAGCAACTGTCCCCACACCCGCACTCGCACCGATGCCACTGACATCGCCCCAGGCCCCATGGCGATTGCACATTATGTTGCGCACCTTCTCGAGGAGGCGACTGGCGATGACATTGTCGCGGCGACGGGCAGCGGTGATGAGGTGGTCGCACATGCGCTCCTCCTCACGCCGCTCCAGCAGCGTCTGGGCGCACTGGGACTCGAAGTCGGCGTGCTTCAACACATCGTCGGCCCGCATCCGGTTGAGGATGAACTCAGCCTCATTGGCCACGCGCACAATGTGATCCTTCATGGCGTGCGAGAGGAGGCGCCCCTCGTTGATCAGCTCTATGAAGGCGAGGCCGGCGTGCTTCTGAAGGCTGTTCTGCCATTCCTGCGAGCAGAGGAGCATAACCAGCTCTACCACCGAGTGCGAGTTCTTGAACGTGGTCAGCCCCTTGCCCTCCATCAGCAGCTCCTGGCCATGCGAGCCGACCAGTGTCTTGGAGAGGAACGGCGCAAAGTCCACCATAATCTCGCGCAACAGCGGACACACCGGTCCCAGGGCAATCTCCAGCTTCTGGGTAAGACTTGCCTCCCGGGAGGGCGTCGTCAGCGGCAGCTGGGCTACGAGTGCCGGCGCCTTCATTGGCAGCTCCTCGGGCCGCGGCCTTTGGCCACCGCCGACGCCCTGTCCGGGTCCCACAGGCGCACCGGAGGCCGACCCTGTTGAGCCGCTGCCATAGCCATCGGGGACACGCACCACAGAGATCTCCGAGTCGGGCTTGTCGCCCCGCTCTCCCCCCATGATGCCATGCCCCATCGATCCATGTTGCTGTTGCTGTGGCTGCTGCTGTTGTTGCTGCTGCTGTGGCACTCCTCCTGTTCCTGTGCCGCCTGTCTGCTGGCCATGCTGTCCATGGGGATGACTAACATCGTGCTTGTCGCCAGCGTCGACGAGTCCAACGACCATGCCAGCGCTGGCCGCTTGAACGGCGGCATCCTCATTCAGATTCACATCCGTCCAACTCTCGTCGTTCGAGTGGCTGGGCTTGTGGTGGTCATCGATCAGGATCTCGCTCGAGGACTCCACCTCAGGAACTTCGTTTTCGGTTGAGTTCATATTCAAGGAGCCCACATCCGAGTCGACACTCTGTCGGGTGCGTGGGAGGTTTTGGGAGGGGAAATAGATGAGAAATAAGTAGGTAATCAAAAAATGCATAAATTTACGGCTGCTCGCTTGGGGCAGTGGTGTGGGGGAATGGGTCAGCACAAAAGCAATCTGGATTGGACAACCCTTGCACTATGGGGCATTTGAGCACTTTTTGTGGCATTAATTAATAACTTCCAAACGAAACAATATTTTTTGATTTTGTTTTCTGATATGAGTCTATAATAGTGAAAGGAAGGTTTGTTGAAAAAATGGGAGTGCCACCGCCTTTTCTTCAGGGTAAAATTGAATTTTATTTTATTTTTAAATTGAATCAAACAATAAATTATGGGAATATATAAAGCAATGCCATATTTCCAATTTGCTAATTTTCTTCTTCACTCAGTTTAACATTACTAACAACTCCGAAAATCCAAACTTTAGGTTATGTTACGAAGATTCAAATATCTGCGAAGACGCAGAACAGCGTAAGAAAAAATAACATAAATTGGATTAAGAATTGAATACTTTACAATATCTATGCAGTTTAATGCTTTCGGCGGGAGCCGAACACTTTGTATTCAAATACAAATTTTCGCCACAAATATGGAATTGTTAAGAAGCTAGCCATTAAACATATTATGAGGTCAATTTTTTAATTTCAAACTCACAAGCACCTTTATAAAACATGTCTGATTCAAGAATATTGAAAAAAATTAACTTAAATTTAGCAATTTTTGCACTTTAAACTTAATGAACAAAATCAGTTTTCCGATAACTTTTCATCGTTCGTAGCAACAGCTGTCTTTAACAGCTGTTATCTTAACAGTGGTACTGTTAATTTTTTGGGTACGTAACATTACGGAATGATGTTATTCCTATGTATATCTGTTAAAAAAATATTACTTTTTTGACTTTTGACAAATGAGTTTCGGCCAGGAAAAGTGGTCAAATGCCCCATAGTGCCTTGGATGTGGTTATTCTACGCTTTGCTCTTTGACCTTTCTCTCCTTATACTCTCTTGCTCTCTTTGTGTGTGTGTGTGGGTTTGAATACATTAAAAGCCTGTGTGAGTGTGTGTTTGTGCGTGGGTTTTGATGTATGCCTATCATTTGCACATTAATTATGCATAGTGAACTATAAATCAAAATTCTCGAGCCTGTCTCCGTTCGCTTGCCCTTCCCCCGTTCGTTCGGTTTGGTCAACACATGCATTTGTCATCGAGTCAGTCCCAGTAGTGCTCAGACATCCTCCCCTTACTGCTGCCTGCCTGACACTCCGTGTCCCGGGCATAGGCGGTGACAGTTTGGCAAACTGATTTGCATAAAAGTAGTCCAGATTTCGCACCCACAATCCAAAAAAACCCGAACCATTACCTCGAAATTCGGCTCATCCGAATGGAAATGGGAACGTGGCGGAATGCCCGGAATGGCACAAGCATGAGATGGAACGGATGGGAGTGGGGCATGTGACAAATTTTGTTAAGCGTTTGACAAATGTCAACTGTCAAGTACAACAGAATGTCAGCGGCACGCGCTGCACACGCATGTCGCATGCCGCCACAAAATGTAAGTGGGGTAGGTGGGTATTTCGTCTGATTGAATGTGAAACGTGGAAATGTGAGGTCCATGACACCCATATCCGTGTTGCTTCAGCTGTTGCTGTTGCTGTTGCTGCTGCTGCTGCTGTGTTACGTTGCGTGTGGCTGTGAGAGTGGTGCGTGCAGCATGTCATCAACACGAAATCAATCGTCGTCTTTGTTTGCCCTCAAAGTGTGTGTGCGTCATGTCCGTAACAGTGTGTCTATATGTCCTGCCCACCACTACAAACACAGCCACAAATTCAATTCGAAAACCCATACCAAATCCAAGTCCCTATGCAAGCTCTTATCTCTTCCTGTCAACTGTGATATATCCATTGCATCCATTGAGCATGGAGCGTGTAGTTGGAGACAGAGAGACGCAGAGAGAGAGAGAGAGAGAGAAAGAGAGACAGGGGAAAAGCATTGCACTTAGTACTAACCCAGACACACGCATGGGCGGTGGGGTGTTGGGTGGGGGGAATAAATTATGCGTGAGTATTAGTTCATTAAGCAATGGCTACCGAAAAATGTGATACGTAAAAGCCAAGAAGTGTGTAGCACACACACACAGCCACGTATCACTAATTGCATACAGACAAACACATACATATACAGACACACTTTCATACATAGGCAAAGACGTATACAGAGAAAAACATAGAAATAAACAAACAACAACTAGGATGAGAATGAGGATACATCAGCCGTTGACTAACAACATACATGACCAGTGGGCATCCCCCACCGGACACTATTGCGTTGCAGTGAGGATGCTCTGGACATGGTTGGGAGGTGCCAGGTGCCAGGTGCCCGGTGGGTGCTGCTACTCAACTCGAGTGCGGTGTGCTTCACGTGGGAGTGTGCTGTATGCGTGTATGGTTGAAATGATTCGTTGATTGAGATGGCAAAAGAGAATTTTATTTAATTGCAAGCTCATGAGCAAGTACATGCAACCACCAAAAACCAATTTCCAATGAAATCAGAGATAATCGAAAAACGAAACGAACAAACGGGCTAATTCTTTTCGGGAAATTCATTTTTGAGAGCTCAAAAGGGTTCATAATTAATTTTCAATGGAAACTCTTATCAAGAATTTTGGGAATTCTTATTTAAATTTTCTCAGAATTTCCACCTCTCGATGCAAGTCGATTCGCATACATTTTTAAACACAGTTTCTTTTAGTTCTCTGATTATATGCGAATTTTACAATCTTTTTGGCAACAGTCTAGACTGTACTAGGAAACATTCACTATCGTTGTCGAAGCTCGAGATTTATGGCTGCAGCCAGTCTGGCTTCTACATTTCAAAAGGAAACCATCAATTGCAATTCATTTTTGATGCAAATACAAATATATAGATGCTATATTAATATTATATGAGTATCTATCGGTATCAATACATTTACAGCTGGACGAATGTTTGTGGGTTTGTGTGTGCGGCACTAATTAAAGCACTCAATGAAACGAATCGAAATGAATTAAAACCAAAATGATAATGAAAGGTTCAATGACGAATTTTAGTGGCAGTAACAGTAAGAGTGCTTTAAATTTGTTGTGGGCCATGTGGCAAGTGGCATGTGGCTGTGACAGTACTAGGTAGTTAGTGAGTAAGTGGTGCGTGGGTGGGTGAGTGAGTGTATTTTTGGCTGATTTTACAGACGGTCAAAAGCTATGGTTTTTTGTTGCAGTTGTTTTGTGGCTGTGGACTGTACTTCTTGCGACTGTGTGTTTGCTGTTTTGTTTTTGTGTTTGTTGTTCATTGTTACCTTTGGTAATTTCTGTGGCACCATTGGCTTTGGTGGTGACAATGGTTGTTGTTGAATTTTAATTGTTGTGGTTGTTGTTGCAGCGGCTGCTGCTGTCGGAATGGTAGTACTTTTTGTTGTTGTTGTTGTTGTTGTTGTCTTAGTGTTGTTGTTGTTGTTAATATTATGGGCTGTTGTTGTTGTTGTCTGGTTGTTGGCCTGTGACATTTTCGATTTGTATTTTTGATAATTTTGGTTTTCGTTTGTTGCGATTTCGTTGCACATGCAAATGAAGTTTAGTTTGGTTTTTGTTTTTTCTTATTCATAAATATACAATCTATACGATGCAGCATATTCTGTCACACGGCCATTCACACACGCACACACAGACACATGTCGCATGCATCAAAGTAGAGTCATGCGACTGATCTCCCTCTTTGTGGCACTGGCACTCAATCAGGCACTCAATAAAGCATTCATTCTCTGACTCTGTCATTTATTCAATTATATTCCCGCTTGCAAAACTCACCTTGATCGATGGCGGTCCACTCGAGTGCGAATCATTATCCGCCAGCACCGACGGATTGTTCTCATCCACGACAATAATCTCATAGTCGCTGTCCTGGATCTGACGTCCACCTACAAAGACCGAGCAGACAATTACAGGAAGAGAGAAAAGAGAGAGAGAGAGAGAGAGAGTAGAACGATTAGTTGCATGCCACAAATCAGTTACAAAAGTGTCTGTGGCTGTGTGTCGACTGTTTCTCGTGTATTTGCTTCGATTACTCGATTACAATCAGATTACAATCACTAAAAGTAGAAATCTGTAGAATTTACTGTAGCACGAGAGGCTGTAGGAAAACTGAAACGCTAAATGGAAACTCTAAGAACTCAACACGAAAACTGCAATGGTAAAAGTGTACGGTGGGAAAATGAACAAACGGAATAAAAACCCACAGAACAAAAAAAAAAACGCAGAACACAAGGAGAACTCAAGAGGTAGACACTCTGTAGACACTCACAATACACAGTCACAGACACACACACACAGGGAAGAGCAGAACAGGGAAGGGGGTAGAGGGGAGAGAACAGCAGAACGGTGGCGAAGTATTAACAGGGAGCATTTGCATGAATTAGTCACGAAAAGTGCTCCCTCCTTTCATAATTTTCCTGAGAGTGTGAAAGGCTGTGGAATGTTTTTCCTAATCTCTGACTTCGAGTGTGCAAAGTGTGAAATTCCTTTCCATTTGGAGCAGGCGACTGCCGGCAGCTGACTTGTGCCTGGCTGCCTGGGTTTTATCTACAAATTAACCTTGTATAACAGTTGGCTCTGGTCTGATCTGATCCAGGCTTAATTAAAATTTATGATGGTCCCTGACATGCGAATGGTTGCCATGTAACACGTGCTCCTGTCGGCACCAGTCCCTGTCCCTGTCCCTGTCCCTCTTCTCACTCTGCAATGCCCATTAAGTATGCTACAGTTTTGTGCACTCGCGCTGGCCACTCTATCCATTATGCCCCGGCTCCACCATTATTCCATCGCCCGATCCTGCTTCTACTTATGTTTTTTCTTTCGTTCGTTTAATTTTGCAATTATTTTCATGCACCGCCACGCACACACATACAGGCAGAGTGCTGGCCACAAATTACTTTTGAACAGAACTCCGAACGTGTTATCGGTGCCAGCAGTTGTACAAACTGTTTTCCTTCGCAGTTCATACATATATACATATTTTTTTTTCTTATTTTGGTTCTTCGTCGCTTTTCATTTTCATTTTCATTTTTTCCCCTACGCTTCTCTCGTTTTCTGCTTTCATAAATTATCCCAAAAGTTTTTCCCCCATTCTGTTATTGTTGTTGCTGTGGCTGCTTTTTTCGCTCGTTTTTCGTGTTTTTTGGCGCGACTAATTTACATTTTTGTCGCTGCCATTAAAAACGTAATGGGAATGCTGTTGCTTTTGCTGTTGGTGTTGCTACCCTAGAATGTGATTTACAGGCTATCTATTCCTTTCTTGGGTTTGCTATCGAACCCATTTCATTCGTGCTTGAGCGATCGATGGATCGACCAATGTGCAAATTCTGAAATGCATGTTCGAGCGCTCATCCGAAAGCAAGGATTATTGTATTAAATACAATACTTGCATCTGAGAATTCTTTCTTTGAAGATGCAATAATCTCGGATTCTACAGGGTACTCCCTTGTCTGTCTAGCCTCTTGCTCGTCGCACCTTCTCCATATTTTTTGCTGCTCTGTTTTCTGCTGTGGCGGGGGATTTGGTTGGCTCGGACCATGTCCAATGGCAATTTTTAAAATGCAGGCGTGCCGAATACATTTTATGGCCTGCCTGCGAAATGTTTTATGCGCCCAGCCACACACACATACACACACCCACACACAAAAACATACAAGCCCAATACTAGCACACACGGTCACGGGTCTGAATGGGAAAATTGTATAATTTTCATGTAATTCATTTTCATAAAATGTAAAATTAACGAATTCTGTTTCATTGCCATTGCTGATGGGGTGGATGTTGGTGGAGCGAGAGTGCGATACATTTTCAGAGTGGCCCCCGATGGCCTCTGAGTCTGCTCCCAACCCGATTTTATATATATGTGTGTGTGTGTGTATGTATTTGTGTGTGTGTGTGTGTGCGTGTGTAGCAAATGAAGATAAATGAAATAAAATGTCTGCTGACAGCATGAAAATGACGAGCCAACAGAGTAGAAAGAAGGCCAGACAGAGCGAAACAAAGAGATAGAAAGAAGGAAAGAGAGAAAAAGAGAGAGAGAGACTGGTAAAAAATTCTAGTCTGATGTGTGTGTGTGTGTGTGTGTGTGCGTATGTGTATGTGTGTTGGGGTGTTACAAAGATAGATTGCAGTTTTTAAAAGCAAATTTGGATAACGTATCCCCAGTAGCCACGTAGCCCCTAGCCTGTTTCCCATTTGCCCATTTCTATTCCACATGAAGCTGCCACAGCAGAGCATTACATTGCACAAACACACATGCACACACACACACACACACACACACACACATATACACTACATTATTTCAATTAGAAGAAGTTTTCCCACAGGCTAAAAGCTGTAAATAGTTTTGTAGACAAACGATAAATACCAAAAACGAGGACTGGACTTCACTTCCATCTTCAAGCAGAAAATTTGTTCGAATTTCAATAAAAGAAAATGTATGTACGAATATGTAGTAAGGTGCAACCCCAAAACGGAAAAGCTGGGGGAAATCTGAGAGAAAAAACCCCGGAAAAATCGAAAAATGCGAGATACCGAGAAAAGCTGCAAGCCAGAAGCCAAAAGACCAAGCTGAGGGGTAGGGAAAAAACACTCTGATTAAGCCGGAAGAGTCACGGGGAAAATTGTGGGGTTTAAATGTGAGCTCCCCCCATTCAGCAGTCCTCAGGTCAAAACGAGATGGATTATGCACTTAAATATACTTAAAGAGCGATAATAATGTTAATGATAAAAGGGGGCCATCGAAGGTTAAATTAATTCCAGGTAGGGGATGGTGGCTGGGGTTCATCATCCGCGGAAATAATTCAATATTTAATACGCCTTGGGGTCTCAGGAATGCCAAAGAATGAGCGACGGGGGAATTGCTAAAGCAGGGCGGATGTTATTAGCAGAGCTTGCGAAAGAGAGCGGGAGAGAGCGATAACTAAGAACAGAAAAGACAAAAAAACTCACCACTCAAAGGAAAATGAAAATGATCTTTGAGATATTATGTACAAGAAATGCGTACAAAACCCCAACCCACACTCGCAAAAACACACATACACATAAAGGGAGCTAGCACACACACACACACACACACACACGATTGTAAAACAGAATTGGCAACAACAAGATTGAGACTACAGAGGAGACACACACACACACACAGAATAGCTACGAATAACTACTAGTAGGTACGGATTACGGATATAACGGACTACGGACTACGGATAACCGAAGGAACGGAACAATGCAATGTTGCATTGTAGCCAATGCATTGGCTAGACACAAAACACAGAAACGATTAGGTATAGCGATAAGGAAACGATAAGGCAGATTAAGGTATAAAGGTAAGTGAGGAAAGGAACGGAAAGCAGTAGAACGGAACGGAAGCAGTAGAACGGAACGGAAATCTAAATGAAAATTACTCGCTACAATCTAAATACTAAATAACAGGGGGCAAAGGGTAATTGTAGTTTAATGATAGAGATACAAAATACAAGACACAGTTACATAGATAAAGATACAGAGAGAGAGAGAGAGAGTCGAGAGAGCGTGACTTTACAAACTACTCTACAAAACACTCGAGCGAGCGATACCTGTTCCAGAGCCGGAAACGGATGCGTTGCTGCGTTGTCCATTGTAGCGGTAATTATTGTTTATTGCGTTTGTCTTATACGCAACGCCTCCGCCTACGCCTACGCCAACACCACCGTCTCCTCCCATTCCCATGCCCATGCCCATTCCCATGCCCATGTTCATATTCATGTTGCTCATGTTACCGCCTCCAGCTCCAGTTCCTGCCCCAACCACAGCTCCAGCTCCAGCTCCAGCAGCTGCAGCAGCGGCAGCAGATGGTGTAGCCGAAGTACTGTGGCCGTTCCTCAAATTCCGCATGTTGTTCATAATATTGGCATTATTGTTGTTGCCACCAGTCGTGGCATGGCCATTCACCAACTGTCCTCCAACTGCTGCTGCAGATGCAGCTCCTCCAGGCATCTGGTACTCCGTCAATCCATTTTGCTGTGTGGCTGTCTCTCCGTTGCGCATGCCGTAAGCATGCGAATGTGGATGAGGATGCGGATGCAGATGCGAATAAAGTCCAGCTGTCGATCCATTCTCTCCGTACAGCTTCCCATTCAACTGTTGCTGCTGTTGCTGTTGCTGTTGCTGCTGGTGACCATTGATCAGTCCATAGTGGGACTGTTGCTGGTGTGGATGGTAGTGTTGCTGCTGCTGCTGTTGCTGCTGCTTGTGGAGCTGCCGGTGCGTCTGCTGATGGCTTTGGGAGGCCAGTGAGGAGAGCGATGAGCTTGAGGCCGGCTGTGAGGTGGCCGTCGAGCTTGCTGACGAGCTGCTCGAGTGCGTGGCCAAGGGTGTGGGCGAGATGTTGCCACCAAGCTGCTGTTGCTGCTGTGATGCTGCTGTGTGCTGCTGCTGCTGCGGTTGCTGCTGCTGGTAGTAGGCAGCCGTCATACTCGTGTGATGGTGGCTATGGTTATGGCTTGTCTGTTGTTGTTGCTGCAGCTGTTGCTGCTGTTGCTGGTGGTAGTAGTGTTGCTGCTGTTGTTGTTGCTGTTGCTGTTGCTGCTGCTGTTGCATGGTGGAGGCGGCAGCAACATGATTTTGATGCGATTCGGGCAGGAATTGCGGGTAGACATGGTGCGACCATTGCGGAAACAGAGGACGCGCACTGGCGGCTTCTATCGGTTATCGGTTATCGGTTATCGTTATGGTAATCGTGATTAAATATCGTTGTTGTTTATTTACACACACACACATTTTGTGGGAGGGAATGGCGGGCAGGGATACGGATTTTGCGTGTTTTGTAGGAGGGGCGAGAGGCCGGGCAATGATGTTTTTGTTTTGGTTTTTTTTATAAATCATTTTGTTTTTATTCCATTTTTTGTTTTTATTTATTTTTTTGATGTTTTTTTATTTGATTGTTTTGTTTGTTTTTTGGTACAATAAATCCGAAAAAGCAGCGTGAAATGAAATCATCGGAAAACGGAACAAAGAAAAGGAAACATAAAACCGAATAGTATCTCCAACAATGGACAGATATGAGTTCTCTTTGTTTTTTTTTTGTATTTTTTTTTTGGGTGGGTCGACATGGGGACTGGCTAATCAACGAATGTGTTTGCTTAACGACTAGGTGATTATATATGTATGTATATGTATATATATAGAGAGAGAGATGCTTAAAAAGTATGGATGGGTGGGAGTTTTGGGATAAGGAATGTTTCGTCGCAGGGAGTGCGCCTAAGTGGAAGGATATTGGTTGATTGTGGATGGATTGGACTTACACGCACACACACACACGCACACGCACATCATGGGCGGAGACTCTCTCTGGGTGTCTGGGCGGGGGGTTTGGGGAGCGTGGACAATGTGCGGTGCGGTGCGTTGCGGTCTTTGTGTGCTTCAGAAGGAGTGGTTGGGTGGGTGGCTAACATATTTTCATAGGTCATGTGGCATCTACCAGAATAAACGTTCGTTTAGCTGTTCACAAAAACCAAACAAGAACAGTAAAAAGGTAACGCACAGAAACCAAAGCGAAACAAGCCGCAACCAAACGATACGAGAGCAACGAAACGCAAAACGAAACGAAAGTAAGGGCCGAATCGAAACATAGCCAGATATATGTATATATATATATATGTAGAGAAAGAGAGAGATATTAGATTAGATCATGGTTGGATTTTTTGTACAGATATCGAAAGTAGAAAACAATAAACGAGTGAAGTTTTCGGTGCAGCAAAATTGGAAACAAAACGAATGGAAAATAAAGAGGAAACGAGGCAAGAGTCGCAACCGAAGACAACACAAGTGTTACGAAACGAAAAAGAAACGAAAACGAAGAAACGACATGAAATGAGACGGAAACGAAAACAGTTTCAGTTTGAGGTCCCCACTCTTCTCCACACTGGCAGGTAGGACTTCCTACCTATGGCAGTATATTTGGTAGTAATCCTTATGGGCCATGGAGTATTTATACTATTTGTATAGCCCTATTTGTGGTGGTCAGAGTTGTGGGTGACTTACCGCCTCCAGAGGTGCGCTGCAGCACCGGCGACTGCCGCTGGATCTGTGGCTCAGCTGGTGGTTCCAGAATGTCACGATACTTGGACACCATCAGCACGGAGATAAAGTAGACAATGGCCAGGGAGAGGAATTGCGCTTGCTTTGTCTCCTCCTGCACAAAAGAGCAAAAGAACAAAGCAACAAGACAATGGGGGGTAATGGTTATCGTGTTGCGATCTGAGAGTAAGTCTCCACTTACCACATCACGGTAGATGACGGCCCTCAAGCGATTCACGTCCATGTCCTGCAACAGCTTCTCGGGATCCTTGACGGGCGATAATTGACCAGTGATTGACTCCACAATGTTCTGTGTGGTGCAATGACACCGATGAGTATTAGTATTAGTTCTCTCTGTCTCTCTCACTTTTTGTAGCGCGGAGTACTCACCTTTGGCGATGCCTGAGCACCACGAATGAGCGCCTGCAGATGCGCCGCACCGGGCACATCACGCGCTAGGGCGCCCACATTGTAGCGGGTGCGCTCCTTGCACTCTAGGCAGTTGCGCACGGCACAGGTGCAGACAAGGCGCAGACACTGGCGCAGTATGCCGCCGCTGGACATGTTCTTCTCGGCCTCCAGTTCTCCAAAGTTCAGCGAGGTGGCAAAGATCAGGACATCGGCCATGTTCACCAGACGCTGCAAGAAGGAGACGGCCACCTCCAGGGGCATTCCCTGCGTCGGCTCCAGCACATCCAGCTCCGACTGCAAACAATTCGTTGGCAATCAGTTCGCGGGAAAGGTTTTGGTTTATGTTTATGTTTAAACTTACATTCGGAGATGTGGCACTGGCCAACAGGGGCAACAGGCCGCCGCAGGCGATGATCAGATTGTCGGCCAGCTGGGAGATCAGATGCACCGTGTTCACCACAAAGATGGCATTCTCGCTGGAGTTGACAAAGTCGAGGACACTCTTGGTGGAGTGGCTGCGCCACACCTGAATGTCCGTCTCCAGCGAGAAGAGCACATCACTGAGCAGACGCTGATGAATGTACGACCACTTGAATTCCGGTATGCGGAAAGGCGGACGCGTCGGTCCCGGACTGAACATCGGCCTTGTCGAGCCCGACTTTGAGCGCGGCTGCTGCTGCTGTTGTTGCTGCTGTTGTTGCGGTTGCTGCTGCTGCTTTGCCTCCCCACTGGCTGGATTCGCTGTGTTAGAAGGGAAATATAGTATGAGGTGCCAAGGTTAGGACCAATCTCCCACTTACCGTAGTGACTAGGCTCGAGTGACTGTGCATTTCCCTCGATTCCCGACGACTGCTCCTCACAGTCCTCGACCTGCTCGCCGGTCTGGAATTCCTCCTCCTGCAGCTGCACCTCCTCCTGGGCCAACAGTGCAGCGTTGCTGCTGACTCCCACCCCAGCCTCATTCTTTGGCGTTGTCTGTGTGGTCGAGTCCACCTCCTTGGGCTTGACCCGTGCGGGCGTGGGTGCCACTGTTGCTGCGGCCTGCTTCTGCTGCTGCTGCTGCTGTTCCTCGGGCTGCGCCTCTGGCGGTGCCGGCGAGGTTTGGGTCGTCTGCTCTGAGGCCTCCACCTTGCTCACGTTGACGTTGACATTAACGTTGAAGGTGTCGCCCACCGCCTTCACAGTCTCCTCGACCAATGTGTCCAGCACCTCGCTGACAATGGCCGTTACATGCTCCTTCGTTTCAATTTCCAGTTTAATTTCCATTTCGGTAGAAGCTGCTTCTTCAAGGATTGCCGGCTGGGTTTCCTGGGCCAGGAATAGCGCAGCCTCCACCACCTCGTGGACAATCTCTTCGGCGGCAGCTGCCAGACTCTCGGCGGACTCCTCCGCTTGGGGTTTCTCCTCCTGAGGCACGTCCTGGATGGCGGTGGCTTGCGGTTCCTCTTCCCCTGCCGCTTCTTTGGCGGCTGGCAGCTCGTTGTTGTTGGTCTCCGTCTCGGTTTTGGTTTTGACTGGAGCATCTCTCGCATCTGTTGTATCTTTTGCCGCTGCTGTGGCATCGATCACCTGCTCGATCAGCTGCTCCACAATGTCGCGCACTGCCAGCTCCACCAGATCGTCACTTGGCTCGGCAACTGTCACCCGTTCGGACACGGACTCCGACTGGGGCTCAGCCAACTGCAACAGGAGATTATTCTCCTCGATCTCCGGCTCTGTGGTGGTGTCCGTGTCCGGACTGACGCTGATCTCCGGCGTGGAGCTGCTCTCCTGGCTGCTCTCTGGCTGCTCGACTTTCTCGTTATTGTTCAGCTTGTTGGCTGCTTCTTCAGTCTTTTGATTGGTTGCTTCTAGCGTGGGGCTCGGACTGGCGGCTGCCACTTCCGTTTCCGTTTTCGCTTTATCTGCAGCAGGACACTCGCTCGTCTGGAGAGGCGGGGCTGTGCTGATCTCGTTGGCATTGACCTCCGCTTCCGCTTCCGACGCTGCCTCCCCATCCGCCTCGCCATCCGCTGCGGTGTTGGTGGTGGTGCTGGTGGTGGTTGTGTTGATCTCCTCTTCGCTGGGACTGGGATTGTTGTTGTTGTTGTAATTGTTGTTGAGCAAATTTTTGCTATTCAGCAGACTGACATTATCCTGCGGCTCCATTGGCTCCTGCTGCTCTTGCTGCTGCTGTTTCTGCTGCTCCTGGGACTTCTTCTCGTTATTGAGTACACCCTGGACAACCTCGTTGACGGCCAGCTCAATCTCCTCATCTTTCAGCACTGAGGAAGCCTCCTGCAGCACATCGTCCATGACCAGCTTGCAGTCGTTGAGCGCCGCCTCGGAGGACTGCATAACATGCGCCACATGCTGCTCCACATCGAGCGAGTCCCTGGCCGTGGCCAGCTCCAGCTCCTCCACATCCATGTCATCGCCCAGCTGCAGGGCTTCCCTGAGCGCCGCCTGGCCACCCATCACATGTTCCAGCTCTGTCTGTGGCTTCACCTGCAACTGGACCTGAACTTGGTCCGCCTCCGAGTCCTGTTCCGTCTCGAGGCTGCCATTGCAGGTTGGCGCTGGCGCGAGAGTGGACGTGGACGTGGACGTGGCCGTGGCCTGGAGCGCTTCGTCCGTTTTGATTTGCTCGTTGTACACATCGGAAATGTTGGCAATGACCGACTTGGTGCTCGGTGGCATTTCTGGCAGCTCCTGTTCCGCCGCTGGAGCCTCAGCTCCGTCAGCGCTGCCGGGACGGAGAGAGGAATCACGTTCGCGTTCACTTTCGGGATCTGCGGGGTCCTGGGTTTCTGCTTCGTCGTCGACATCGACAGGCAGCTCAAAGCTCTCCAGCTCCTCGACGGTCTCCTCCTCCATCTCGTCCTCCTCCTCAACGACAGCGGCCACATCCTCCAGCGAGGCAATGGACACGGCACCCTTCACAGCTGGTACCGTGCCTCCAGCCTGGCTCTGAATGGGAGCCACAGGTGCTCCAGCTCCGCCTCCGTTCTGCTGCTGCTGCAGCTCCTCGCGCTCCCAGCCGCTGATCGTGCTGATGGGACGGGCTTGGCGCAGTGCCGGATCTGTAATGTTGTCCGTGCGCTGGCGCTCATAGTGCTCGTACATCTGGGCAAACTGCAGCTTGAACTCCTCGTAGGAGACCTTCGAATGGACGATGGCCAGAGTGTCCACCCAGACGCGCCAGCCGCCATACTCGTGCTTGATCGCATGGTGCAGAAGCATGCGGAAGAGCGAGTAGACCATGTCGCTGATCTTTTGTTCCTCGCTGTTCTTTGGGTGGATGTAGGCCATCGCGATTAGCCACTCCTGCCACACGGACATCTGCAGCACTGTGCGACGGTTCTCCCGATTGCTGTTGCACAGCAGCGTCATGTCCTGCAGGAACAACTTCTTCACATCGATCAGCGACTCGGTCTGCTTCGACTGTCGTATCAGTGTGGCCACCACCTTCAATATCACTGGATTTTGGAAAGTGTTTGCGGTTTGGTTACAATCAACGAATTGGGGGATGGCAATGAGATTCGGGGGTACCTATCCCTAAGTACTTACTTGGATTCTCGAGGCGATAATGACTCTCTGGTTCTGGGTGGCGCGTGTACAGAATCTGCTGCGATATGTGCTCCGTCATGATCTCGTAGAGGACATTGTAGGTGGGCAGGGACAGTGACTCCTCGTAGAGGAGCAGCCGTTCGGCCAGCAGCGTATAGAGATTATGGGGCGACATCACATCGTACTTGCGCCTAGCCAGGGAGGAAGAGTTTACGCTTAGGATAAGGGATAAGGCAGAAACACGATTGCTCGATACAGTAATCGGTACATTTATGCATGGGAAATTGTGTAGGGAGACACTCCAGCGATTAACTGTATCGGACACTGGACACTGAACACTGACACATAAATGTCCCTATCTGCTGTGTTCCCCTTTCCCAGTTCCCCATTCCCATCCACTTACTTGTGTGTGCTGCGCGACAGAAAGAATCCAAGGAGCTTGAGGGCCTGCAGGCGTATCAATTGACTTTCGGCCGCCAGCAGCTTGAAGATGCTGCGCACACCGTGCTTCACATCGAAGGCAGGTACCATGGAGCTGGGGTGCTCCGACATCAATGAGATGAGCATCTGCAGCACATCGTGCAGGTTTTCATCCTAAAGTCAACAGAATATTACTCAGTTGTCCATGTATATTTCCCACCCATGGTTCTATTCACCTCGTGCATTGTGGTCAAATAGTTGAGTATGCTCTGCAGTTCATCCTCCTTGACCCCGTTGCCGATCATTATCAGTTGCTTGAGGAACAGCAGGATGTAGGCACGTATGGCCAATATATCCTTCTGCGCGGGACGCGGTCCATCTAACAATGGCATGAAACAACATTCCCTAAAGGTTCTGTCTCTCTGTGTGTCTGATCCAAAACTCACCTAGACCCTTGGGTATGATGCCGCTCTTGGCACGTGGATTCACCACCCAGTAGTAGTACTTGAGAGTGTGCACAGTCTGCAGGACGGTGCTCACGCGTCTCACATTGCTGTAGATTTGAGTGTCGCTGAGGAACTCGGTGGCCAGATAGGAGTACAGTCGTGCCTGCACATTCGCCGGCGTGTAGATCCACAGTGCTGGGTTGAACAGCACGTGGTCGAGCAGCTGCCACGTGAGAAACGAGAAACAGAACAACTGCGGAAAATTAGTCAAGTAACTTATGCTGCCCTCGCATCGAATGGATCATCGTTTTGAGTAATCGATAGTACTCGTTGTACATCGTTAACACAGAGAGTACAGCGAGTACAGAACAGAGTTTTGCTCAGAAAGGAAGAAATGCGAGTTAGACGAGCGAGTGTTACGAGAGTTACAACACAATGCATGTTACGAATAAGTAGTTATGATTTAAAATACACACAAAGGATAGGTTTTCAAAAGAGAGGTGTGGATCATATGGGATAGTTTATGGGTGCGTTTAGAGATTATGAATTAAATAATTTTTTTTTTCATTGGTATACATACGGTTAACGTGAGTTTCGGTTTGTTTTTTTTTTAATATATATTTTTATTTGGTTGTCGTTGTTGTTGTAGTCATAGTAGTTGTTGTTGAGTTGTTGTTGATGTTGATTGGGGAGTTTATATTTTAAGGGGGAGTAGTAGTAGTAGTAGGATGGACAACATATTGTTTGGATAACACATGCAGCAAACACGGGCAATCAATCAACGAACGAACATAAAACGAAAGTTGGACACGAAATCAAGTCCAACGCAACCGAATGGAATGGAACGCAACGCAACGGAACGAAATGAAACGAAACGAAACAATTGGGCATTCCAGTAGTTAAAAAATATTTGTTTTGATTAGGATCTCAAGTTGTAGGTTAAATTCAAGGACTGTAGGGTTAAAACTAAGCTAAGGCTAAGGCTAAGGCTAAAGCTAAAGCTAACATTAAGGCTAATGTAGAGCTAAAATGTAAGGCTGAATCGTTTATTAATCGATAAATATATCGAGGAATTGGGGATTCACGGAGGTTGGAGTTGTGCTGCCACAGTATGATGATGAACTGATGGAAATTAATGGCTCCCACAAACTCCCAAACGTGCAGCATTGCAAACTCAGTCGACAATTAATCGATAAGGAAGTTTTCCCCATTTAAGCAACTCAGCTTTTTGTTTCCAAAATAAAAGTTCACTCAATAAAGTGCATTAAAGTAAGTCGAATATTTGGGAGGGTTAATCCGTACAATTAAGGCCACTTTTACCTTTTAATTTCATTTATCAGTTTCGGCCCCGGAGCTTCATCTGCAAACAAAACTTGTTAAGCTCTCGCTTCAACTTGTTAGATTGTCAAAAACAATGTTCGTCCCGGCTTCAGCTACAGCTACAGCTACAGCACCCGGCTACAGCTGTTGCCATGGCTCAGACAACAATGCAACATCAGGGCCCTTCCGAAAAATCCCCTATCCCGGCCCCCATTCGCCCTCTCTCGCTGTCAACCCGCTCACGTGTACGTTACGGACGGCAGCAACAGAAGTTTCCCAATTAAAAAGCTCTGCACCGAATGTAGAGTTTTTATTTTCAGCTTGAAAGGTGCCACGGAAAAATATATGTACGAGTACGAGTACAATATTCAGTGAAGTTTTCTTTTTTCTCTGTTTATTGTATTATTCATTTTGTGTTGGCAAAGGGGTTGTCTGTGGATGTGGATCTATAGGATGAACAAATAAACGAGTTTTAGTAAGGATGGGATGAGTGGATTGATGGTGGATCAATTAGGATGGTGCGATGCGGTGCCTGAACACAACTCTTCTCTCAATTATCCAAATGACACATTGAGCAAATTGACTAAGGGACGTGGGAGAATGATGGGAATATGCTACGGGTGGGGTTGGGTGGGTTAATGTATTGCGTATAAGCTGCGGCTACAGATGGATGGAGAGTCGAGAGTCTGCGGTTGAGGTTTAAACCTGAGGTTATCCCTCTCAGTTGATAAGATTATGTGGTTTTTCCTGTGGTTCTGTGATTCGACATTGACTTGGGCACGGGTTGGGTAAGAAGCGAGGTGAGAGGAATGAGGGAAGTATACGTAATCGAATGAAATGAGTTGGCTATATAATACACACATGTACGCAAATGTATCTTAATGGGGATGAGAGAGATACAGATACTCTCCACGATTTGTTCACGATACACGAATGATATGTGAGATGGTGACAGTGAACTGTGTGTGTGTGTGGAGCTATACAAATGATGTTCAACAAATTACGTTAACAACAGACACGCAGTACACGTACAAAATGAAACGGATACGAAACGGAATGAACAGTGGAACGGAAACGGAAACAGAAACGGAAAACAGAAAACAGAAACATTCGATATAGTTTTCAAAGGCAATTCTTGGTAGACAGAAATCGAGAGTTGAGCTTCACCTGGTAGAACTGGTTGTTGTTCATGTTGATGTTGTAGTTTATTTATAGTTTAGATCAGTTGTAGTTGTTGCAATTGAAATTATTAATATGTACGTGTGTGTGTTTTGATGATGCGAATCGAAAGTTTTGTATTGATCGATAAGCGATTACACCACAAAAGAAGTGGCAAGTGGGTTATGAAAACGGGTTTATGCGCGATGAGCAAGCGATTCGTGAATGTGTTTGTGTGTGTTTATGTGTTAGTGGGTCGTGTAGGCGGTGGCGAAGAGCGTGAAAAACAGCGCAGGGAGAGAGAGAGAGAAAGTGAGAGTATGAAAGTGAAAGAGAGAGAGAGAGAGAGAGAGAGCAGACAAAAGTAGAAGAAGACATTTAAATTGTAGTTTATTCATATTAATGTTGCACGTTCATTTTTAGTATTTTTGCTATGTTTTTTTTTTATCTTCTAGCATGGGTTTGTTGCCTGATTGCTGATTTTAGCTAAGAAAAGTATTCAATTTGGATTAATTTGAAAGCGAAGCGATTATGCAAGCACAAGCACGCAGAACGCCATGGAATGGAACACAAATTACACAAGCGAAATCGTAACTAAAGAATGAGTAGAAGTTTTGTAGCCAATTCAAGATGGAACGAGAAGAAAGGCGACGCTTAAACAGTGCACGAAAGTCATGCAGTGTAATGCTGGAAAGCGTTAAAACAGTGTTGGTGGGAAGTGCTGGTTAACTTAAAATAAAATTAAAAAGTTGAAACAACCGACTCTGTGCCGCATCCCACATTGAAGTGGAAGTAAACGAAGCCATAAGGATATGCGTTCTCCTAGCAGAGAGAGGGTTGCCTGCCTCTGTGCCTGTCTGTGTTTCCATGCCTCTTTGTTTTGGGCAGAAATCGGGTTAAGTTGTAGCAGATGCGGATTGCGGATTAGCCCACACTTGAGCAGCTTCCCCCATCATTATACCAGCCAATACACAGGCAGGCAAAGGCGCAAAGCAAACATTAAACATATAGTGGTTTAAATAGTATATGTGGTAGGGTAGGCAAGCCTAGGGTAGGGTATGTGTGTGTGTGTGTGTGTGTATAATAGAATATACAGAAATTGGTATAGTGGAAAGGGTTATTTGCTTAAGAGATTTTCAAGTGCAGTTACTTATAAAAGGAGAAATGTGAGCATTTGTTTACGGTTGTGTTTACTTTTTTGAAAGGATTACGCAGGCCTGTGTTCAACTGTGTGTGCCATCATTATCATTATCATCATCATCAATAACCATCATCACCATCATCACCATCATCATCATTATCATCAACAAAAGGCAAAACACAGTGAGTGCAATAGATAGACATAAGTAGTATCATAATATAGAGAGATATATCATGTTTAAATACACATAAATAAATATGTAAAAATAGAAAGCAGATTTGGCATATCATTTCGAGTAGTTATTCATTCGGTAAACATTCGAACGGGTTCGGTATGGGCAGGGTCAAAAGGTGAACGGGTTAACGGCTTGGGTTGCGTGTGTGTGTGTGTCTCTGTGTGTGTATGGGGGAAAAACATGTAACAAAATGTTCAATTCAAATGCGCAAAACATAATCAAACATCATTCGGTGGCTCAAAGTTGGGAGGCTCTTCACATGCTAACCCCCATTCCACGCTCAACTTAGATCGAACTTATTTGTAGATATTTGTACATCATAAAGACATTATATAGTAATGATAGTCCTCAAACGACATTAAACGACATTCAACAGTATCAGTTATCAGTAAACATGCTCTGGCAAACGCTTTGGGCATACGCAGCGTGGTCCATTCATAGTTGATAGAGCGCGCGATCAGGCTGTGATTGATTGATTGATTGGTTTCCTTCTTATTATCTAACATACGCAGGCAAATTATTTGGAATAATAGATACGTAATACAAATGGAATAAGGCTGAGATTTATGAGAGATGGTTGCAGGGTTGCTGATTGTGGCTTGGACGGGCGCGGAGGCTCTTACCTGCTTGAGCAGCAGATCGCTGTTGGCCGACAGGCACGTGACCAGATATTTGGTCAGATTGAGGAACGAGCCGAGCACCTCCAGCGTGAGATGCTCACGGGAGGAGCGCTGAAGCATGAACGAGATGACCAGAAAGCCACGATTCTGGATCATATGTTGCTGCACCGTCTGCGATGTCTCCACCAGTTCGCAGATGAAACCCAGCAGCTTGGAGCTGTAATCAGTCGGGTGTAGAGTAGTTAGGGGCATTGCATGCTTTTGTTCCGAGTTCGTGTCGATTACTTACCATAGAGAGGGATCCCGCTTGATGTCCCCAATGCCCTCGTGGGCCATATCCAGCTGCGAGAACAGCGGGAACAGCACCTGGATGCCGCCAATCGAGTTTAGGGTGCAGTGTATCGAGTGCGTGACCACCGCCTTAACGTCCTGCAAAAGCAAATTTAAATTTAATCATCCGCTTCTGCACCTGCCTCGCTGGCCGGTCGCTTGTCACCAGGTAAATATGGTTAGTCTGGTCGCCCCCGGTAATCGCCTAAGCTGTCGTCCACCCATATATTGGGTCGGCGACACGTTCCTCGTTCCTCGTTCATCGATTGGCCCTGTCCTACCTGGGCCTCTTATGATTCGTGTTTGTTTGTGCAGGAAATTACTACAAAATTTATTGAATAATTTTGTGTCCGCCCAACGGACTGCCGTGTCCTCCAGGAACTACAGGAATCTTAGAGGGCAGCCCACTACAGCCATGACCCAAAGCTAATAAGAAATGCCAAGGCATGCGCTCGTGTCGTAAAATGTTCTGCATGGAATTTATGTTTGCGAAGGACGGACGGACGACTTGCCCCTCCAATCCGTACCCGCAACAGTCCCTGTCCGGTGTGGCCCTCTGTGTTTACTTACCTGCAGCATCAGCGCATGCGGCGTGTGGACAAAATATGATACATTTCCCTTGGGGGATGACTGCAAACAGAGCTGGCCATCGGTAGCCACTGGATTGTACATGAAGACAATGGCATTCGATAGTTTTCCATCGTACAGCACCTGTGCGGGAGAGGGGAGAGGGGAGAGTGGAGAGGGGGAGGGATTAGAATGGCCTTCAATAAAATTCATTGAGTGGACAGTGCTCTGTCGAGCACTCGGACTAGGACTAGGACACGACCCACAACGACCAGCCACTGCTCCTCTTTCCACCCCGCGAGAAGATGTGGTGGGGCTTGGTCTGGTCATGACAGTGTGCTATACTTGGGCTTTGTCTATAGCTTTACATATAGAAATGGACGGCACTGTACTGTACTATGTACTGTACCTTATAAATAAAATTCTCGTGTCACAATGTTCGTTCCCGTACTCCTCCGAAACGGCTTGACCGATTCTCATGAAATTTTGTGAGCATCGGCCAACATCTATTTTTCATACCCCTTAGTGATAAGGGTTGTCCACACCATTATAGAGGGTATAGGACGCATGACACATGACATTGTTGTCATATATTTTTTCAATTTTGTATTGTTTTGTTTGTACAGTGAGCAATGCCAAGAAAACGCAACGGGACTGATTTGAGCCTTAATAAGAGTAAATCTCGAAGCTTGGGAAATAGAAGATCCGAAAGAACCGAAGAACAAAGAATGGAATCTTTGCAATTGCGCCAAGAAAAGTTAAAAGATACACGAGCTGAACGTGTTCACAGTCAATCGACGCAGAACAAATGACCAACAACGACAACAGGTACATCGAGCATTTACATCTGATTCATTCCTGCGTCTAGCATTCTAGTATGAGCCCGATATTTAATATTATGCTCATTCAAAAGTGGTAATGGTGCTATGGACAAGGAATGTCCGCATTGTCATGCTCTGAAATTGTCATGAAAATGAGCCAGCTGGGATGTGTTGCGCGTCAGGAAAAATGCAACTACCTGAAATTGAAACCACCTTAACCATTGAAGGGTTTACTTATCGGCACGGATCCAGATTCTAACGTGTTCCTGAAGTCAATTCGAACATTCAATTCATGCTTTCAAATGACATCGTTCGGAGCAACAGAAATAGTTTGAAATGCAAATGGTTAACAATAAAATCATACATTTAAAATCAGAGGCCAAGTTTATGATAAAATGGGCACACTGCTGCCAATTCTAAACGAACCACATACATTTTTACAAATCTACTTCATGGGCGGCGAGGAATCGCATGAATGCACGTTGTGATTATAAACCATTGATTAATTTTATGCCAGACGCATCGTCAGCGAGCTGGATGCTCTATTGAACGAGCACAACGAATTGTTGAAAATATTCAAATCACACATGCACAAGTTACAAATCGATAATCACGCTATCGTCATTAATCCTGATAAAACACCAGCTGGAGAGCACATTCGTAGATTCAATGCACCCGTTGTTGATGCTGTTGCTGGAATCATGGTTGGCGATCGTACAGGTGCACGAGAAATTGTGATTCGTAGAAAAAATAATAATGTTCAGTTCATTGCTGATACACATCGTTCATATGACGCTCTCTAATATCCGATAACATTCAGGAAGGGACAAGACGGATATTGCATAAACATAAAACAACGAGATCCCGTATCAGGTACTTCATTGATTATGCATTTTTGTCTACACTAGAAATTACTTAAAAATTATATTGTTATATGGCAAAACAACGTTTGCCGGGTCCGTCTTGTATATTACTCCTTGCACACATTTATATATGTTTGTATATCTTTTATTTACAAAACGCATCGATTCATTTACTCCACTTGCTCGAACTCGTTGAGTTTTTTCTTTTTGATTTTTCCTCTTGCTTTTTCTGTTGCTGGTGCATTACTGCCTTCTTCTTCTACTTTTTCTTTGGGTGCCATGAGCCGCAGACCGCCGAGGCATAGGCCAGAGGCATGGTGTGTGGTGTGGTGGCTTGGTGGTTTTTTGTGTGCTCGGGTGATGGTAAGCTGGTGCTCGTGTGTGGCATTATTATTATTTATATTCATTATACATATACATATGTATGTGTATGTATGCATGTTGTATGTACTATAATTATAGTTATAATAAATGCTGGCTGGCTTGGTTGGATTTGCTGGATTTTGCTGGCTTGCCGGCATAATTTGCTGCTAAAAATACTTCTTTTTGCGAAACGGAAACGGGAAACAGAAATTAACCAAGCAACATGAAGGGGAAATACACGCAAAAACAGAAGCGACAAAACCAAGCCAAAAATAATAAGCAAATACATGGAAAAACATAATGGGTATCAATCTAAAAATATCTGCAAGTTTGCCCCTGTTCTGAAGGGATGTCCATCCATGTTGTAGCCACTATAGATTAAAGCTTTACTTAGAACCCCTCCCCTACATGGAAGTACTTCCATGCTACATGGTACTTCCCGTTAAAAGCGCAATTTGTGTACTCTTCTGTGTGTGTGTGTGAGTGTTTGTGTGTTGTGTTGTGTTTCCCATTCCATTAACTCAACATTCAAAATAACTAAAGTACTCCCAGCACTCGCAACACTTCCCAACACTCCTCCTTGCTCCCAACACTTCCCAACACTCCACACGTTGAAAGGTAGCAAGCAAATGGCATAATGCTCCTGCCCAGGCAGGTGGGTGGGTTCGTTGGGTTGGGTTGGTTTAATGGCAACGACACGGCACAGAACGACTCTGTTTCGGGCCGTGAATGTGGAACAAGGCATCCAAATGTGTGAGACACTGTTCTCGTTGTGTGTGTGCCACGGAATATGGAACATGCGCGCCCAAAAGATTTCCCAAACAATCTACTAGGAGTGCAGAGAAGACAGAGAGAGGGAGAGCGCCTTGCATTTGGCTTTGTCTACGAGCGAGCGGGAGGGAGGGAGGCAGTGCCGTGCACCTGCGAAAGTCTACGCTACATTTACTTCCATCTCGAGGCATTGTTGGAGCCATAAAATTCCCCCCTCTTGAAATAAACTTTAAAAAGCCGTTAACACAAATCTCTCGTCTAAGAAAATACTTCAAAACTCCAAAACTGAAACTGTAGCTGAAACTGAAACAGCAAGAAATACGAAAACTTTTGTAGCAAATTTCAATATCGATTTGACTGCTTCCCCTGCCCCCTGCCCATTACAACTGCCAATAAATTCTTAATTGCTCTAGCACTAGGTGTGGGCGTAGGTGTATCCCATAAACTTGTTGTCTTACTGGCACAGCCACAAAACCACTTAAAGAACTTAAAAGAAATTAACAAAAATGGGAAATAATAAATAAAAGGGCAAAAGAAAGAGTTCGCTTACAGCTTTCAGCTGGTTGATCTCCTCCGTGTCGGCACCGCCTGCCGTTGGGCCAGAGCTTTGGCCGCTCACGCTGACAGACATGCGACGCAATTGGTCTGTACGACACGACACGACGACACGACAACAAAATTAAAATTGGAATATCAGAAAATCAGAATTAAGCAAAACAAAGCAAATCATAATGTGAATATAAATACCAAAAGAAGCATTTCCAGTAGGCAAATGGCCGAGCGGATCTTCTGCAGTGCCCCCAGTGGCTCCCTGGCCTGGGATTGGGTGGACTTGGACTTCCCCCTCGTGGATGTTGTTGCTGCTGTCGCTGACTCCTGCTGCTGCTACTCCTGCTCCAGTGGCTGTTGTGGCAGTGCCTCCGCCTCCGCCTCCGCCTGCAACTGCTACAACTCCTGCCCCAGGTAGCGCGGCCAGCGTGACGGCGTTGCGTGCGGTCAGCACTGCTCGAATCTTTACGAAAGCGGCATTCAGATCGAGCCGCTCGTCCGACCAGTCAATGGCCCGAGCCTCCTGCTCAGCGGCCAGTGTCTGAAACTGTAACTGCAGCTGCTGTTGGCCACTGGCGGCTGCCGCAGCGGCATCGATGGCACCGCCACTTGCAGCTCCACTGCCGCTCCCACTACTGCCAACGCCCAGTCCCGCCCCTGCCACCATCAGCGACGTGGCTGGCAACAGTTGAAAGTGACTCACCCGCTTGTGATTGTCCGGCAGATTCAGATAGCACTCATTATCGAAGCGAAATTGCGACTGTTTATTGTTCGATAGTCGATGGTCGATGGTCGATTTTCGGTTTTGGTGATTGGTGCAAATATTAGCGAGTGTGCGGCAGAAAGAGAGACACACAGAGACAGAGAAGAGAAAGAGAGAAAGAGTAGAGCAAAAAGAAAAAGAAAAAGAATTGAAATCAAATCACATTATTCTTCTGTACATGAACATGGACAAGGACAAGGACAAGGACATTTGCTTGCTGCGCAAAAGCAAAGTGGCTGGAGTGCTTTATAGGGTGCAGTTGTGCCAAAGGGGGGAGGTTCTCAATGAGGGTTTATGACTTGTAGGGGGGTATCATACCTTATAGCCCGGCCCCAGGCGATGCATGGCACATATCTGTTGTGTGGTCAGCGCTTCGCTGAACAAATAAATGGCTGACATTTGGCCACAAAAGACACGCTCCTCATCCAGCTCCGGTGTGGCGCCAATATAGCACTTGTCAAAGGGCTGCACCAGAATATCAAATAAAAGATTACAAATGAAAATGATTTAGATTTCGATTTCGATGCAGGATGGGATCTACTCACATCGTTTGTGGAAACAAACCAGGCCATTTCGGTCGAAGAGGCCAGCTGTCCATTAACGAGGCACTTGATTTCGCTTTTCGTCCAACGATTGTAAATATACACAATAGCAATCATATACCACTAGGAAAAGGAAACAATAATAATAATCATAGCAGATGGTAAATGATGGTGAAGATATTTCGTACCTTTCGCGGCTGGAACTCATATTTGACACAATGCTGAAAGCCCTTGCCCTTCACCTTCATGGATGTCAGCACCAGACAGTTGCCCACAAAGTGCGCCGTGTAGCCCACGCCCTTGGAGGTCTTGAAGCTGCACACAAATCAAGTAATTTAAATACCAAAGGATTTATCTGATGAAAATGATTGTACTTACCAATAAAGGTAGGGCTTCTCGCGCTCAATGTTCACCGAATTGATGGGATCCAGGCGAAACCATGTGGTGAAGGTAAATCCATTCTCATACGGCCACTTGGCCAACGGCGGCAGTACCATGGCCTGCAAAATAATACCAAGGAAAATGCACATTAGATTACTGATTTCATATAATCTTCGATTGCTGCTGCTGCACAGTCGGTTAAATACCAATTATGAACTCGCATATCTTGGCCAACATTTCACCAGCAATAAGTCAAATAATCCACATAATTTGCATCGTTCAAACAGGGGCAGAGACAGAGACAGAGAGTGGTAGATAGAGAGTGAACTCATAACAGCAGTTGAGTTTGGGATTGAGTTTCAAAATGAAGTTGCCTTGAGAGTTTTCTGTAGCCCAGTGCCAATGCCAATTCCAATGGCAATTTCCGTTCAAGTCTGAAGATATAAATCAAAGTTTGCTGTACATTTTTGAATGGACTTTGACTTGGGTTACTTGTGGCATTCCACACAGATACACACACAAAAACACCCCTTTGAGTCCTGTGGCTACAAAATTCACAAGCGCAATGCCAACTGAATTGCAAATTATAAGGAAATGAATTTTGTGGTTTATCGGACAGACAATGCAGTTAGGCTGTGGCAGAGACTTTGGTATTTCCCTTTCAAAAGGAGCTCATAAACTGGCCGAGGCCAGCCGGACTGCAGCTGGGATTCAAGTCGCAAATGATTGGCAATGAAATACAATCTTGTCGTCGCTTGCTGAACACTTGATTATCGACCATTGCCTCATGATATCCGTATATCTGGATATGTAGATAGCATTGGATTAATACCACTAGTCGACATTAATTGCCATTTAAATTGAAGTGTTTTCTTCTCTGTATTAGCCCTGAACAGCAACTGATGTCACAGAAGGTCACATATCACAGAACACTATGGACCAAGCGCACTTGTGGTCTCCCAATTCTCACACAGTTCAGCTTTGGCTTTGGCTTTAGCTCGCTCTTTCGGTGCCCTAAATGGGTTAAGGCCAGGCGGACGTTACAAAGACCTGACATTGTTAGAGCTGTGCTGCGGTTACGCAGTGTCACCAAAGTGTCACCCCCTTCAACCTGGAGACGCGCTTTCTCCTCGCACTATTTCAGACAGCGGAAACAGGGCAGCGGATATGCCATCGCAAGTGGGGTGGCAGTGGCATGCTGCAGCGGAGCAGTGTAGCTTTGGTCTCTGACAAAATCTCATTATTCGAATCGAGTCTCTGGCCTCGATGTCGCCTGCCATTGCATTGCAATCAGCGCCATCATCAATGGCATTAGTCGGGGGCCAGGGCCGGGGCCACGGCCTGTGGATCGCTGATCGGTGGTTAAGTGGGTAACAGTCGGTGCCTGGACAGTGTCGGGCTTGCAGGATAAACGAAAAATTAAAAAGAAAAAAAAAGGCCCAGCCCAAACGAAAAGCGTGAAAAGTCCTCGCCCAAAAAGCAATGAAGTGGACAACCAGGGGAAACCAGGAACCACCAGCATGTGTGTGTGTGTGCGTGTGGATTTCGATGATGATGGTTGGAGCTGATGATGATGGTTTCTCTCCTGCTTATTGAACATTTTGTGCGACAATTGCAATTGGTATTGCTCCGCAGCTCTGTTTTGCTCCTCTGATGTTTCGTTCGTTCTCGCATTTGACTTCCAATTCACTTTATGGCATTTTTTATGTGTTTATGGGCAGATGGACACATCGATAGAGTGCCCCTGTCTGAGTCCATGTCCCTGGACACTCACCCATTAGCTGTCCGTTAGAGGAGTAGAATGAAATGGATTACAATAGAAAAGAACCGAGCCCCGGGAACATTTCCACATTTCGAATTTGTTTTAAGTGCCAAGCAATAAAATAAAAGCCCCCACGCGTCGCACCGCACCGCACCGCACCACGCCGCCCCGCCCAGCCCCGCCCAGTGTGCCCTGGGGACCTCATTCGAATACGAATATGTGTATCGATTCTCAGCCCCTACCAGCTGAATTCCATAAGGAATTTATTTACCGCTCTACTTTTGATACAAAACAAAGTGTAACCTGGAACCTGCGTTTGCCAACACTTGAACGTTGTTCAACACTTAAAGCAGTGTCGTTTCGGTGTCACTTGTCAATCGCTTGTCCTGTCTATGTATTGGCATTTCACTGTAATTTTGTAACACGTCTAAAGTACGATTGTAATTGTAATTTATCTTCGAAAAGAAAAAAGTTTCTCGTAAGGGTGGCAAAAAAAAATGGTTGTGCATACTCGTAAATTGTTATTTTTCTCTTTTGTTTTGGTTCACAGAGTCAGCAACCATGAATTACATGTCTGCCTGCCTGGAGGTGGCACTGGAGGAGGGAAAGTACGTCATCGGGTACAAGCAAGCGCTGAAGACTCTGCGTGGTGGCGGTGCCAAACTGGTGATCTTGGCCAAAAACATACCGGACCAAATGCAGTCAGAGATGGAGAAATACGCCGCCGAGACCAAGACCCAAGTGATTTGCTTCAGCGGCAACAACTTTGATCTGGGCAATGCCATTGGCAAGTTCTTCAATGTGGGCACAGTGGTCATTACCGATGTGAAGGTCTCGCAGGATATGATCCACTTGTTGGCGGATGCCAACGAATAATTTCAATCCATTGTTTTCAATGTCATCATAAATATATAGATAGTCGAATCTTTTTGTTTTAGTTGTTGTTTTGTTGTTGTACTCACCGATCCCTTGCGGCCCGGAAAGCTAAAGAACACATCGGGCCCGTTGCGGTGCGGCATTTGGCGCAGGACATTCAACAATTTGGCCGAGTGCCGCGGCCACTTGCCATTCGTTGCCTTCATCGTGCCAAAGAGCAGCTTCAGCTCCTTGACCGTTATGCTATAGCTGGCCAATACGCCCAGCATCTCGATGAGCAGATCTGCAAAAAGAGAAGGAGGAGAAGAGCATAATGCTAGGTATAAATGTACATACATATGTGAAGGTGTGGGGTGATGGGTGCCATTATGGCGGCCGTTTCCGGCAGACGGAAAACTCCTAATGGATATGGATATGGCCAGGATGCTGCCGTCGGCGATGCTGCATCCGCTAGCTGGGGCAGCGACGCAACACTATCTCCGTGCACTGAGCAAAAAAGGAAACCTGCTTCCAAGACTGCACTGCGAGCTTGTGCGTGACGCGAGTGCGCGGAGAGTGTCGCCCCGCCACCTGGTTGTACCTCAGGTGATGTCCATGTCAGTTGCACATACAGCCAGGCACAGCCACAAGGACATGCTCTTAGAGACTGACAAGAGGCGTTGATGCTGCTGCCGTGGGTCCCTGGATCCCTGAATCCCGTGGATCCTTGACTGGAAGCAGTCAAGAAATCGCTTTCTTTATGGCAAATAAAAGCCAGCGAAGGGAATTTACATACATCGGTGGATGGATAGTTGGAAAACTGCAAGTTCATTTATGGAATTCAGTTTGGAATTCTTAAAAGCTTCAGGGAACGTTCCTGTTCTGCTGCCACACAAATTATGAACAGAAGAAATGGAAGCAGCATCATCCATATCTGTCTTCCATAAGCCACAACGGGCAAGATGATGAGGATTCGGATGATTTGGATGATAATGATGATGATGATGATGTTGTTGCCAAAGTTTTAGTCTTCCCCTGCTGCATTTTCAATCAACTTTGGCCGAGAAGCTTGGCCAAATAGTTATTAATTCTAGAGTTCAAACTGATTGCCACATAGCGCACGCCCCGCCTGCCCCACACTGCCCGACGGTGGTTCACCTACAGAGCTTTACTGCCATAGCCACCAACGCCGTTCCACGAACACTTTGCCAACTTTGCAACACGCCCTTGGGGCCTGGCTCCATCTCTGCCGCTGCCGCTGCCGCTGCCTCTGCTGCGCTATTCCCAAACTTCATTTGTAATGCACACTAATTGAAATGGGACGCTCGGGCCGTTTTAATGCTTGGACTGTTGCCCTCGCCCCCATGGCCCCCTGGCCCCCTGGCCCCGTGGTTTTGCCGCCAAGAAGTTTCCACACCCGAACACCCGCACACTCACCCACCCACTCACACTCCATCAACACGTTTCGGGTTGCGTAAATTAAGAAATTGAGTAACATGAAGCCACAGACAGCCGGTGGGGCTGCAGGGAGGACGCAGTACCTTTAGGGGCTTACGGACTGGACCCGAACCGAAACGAACCGAACTCCACACTCTCCTTGAAACTGCTGTTTGGCTCCATGGCTCCATGCCGCCGTGGGCCCCGAGGCGACATTCCCAAGACGACAATGTCGCCCCAGTTGCTCCCCAGTTGAGGTTCCAGCAGTGTCTGGCAGCCAGCAGCATCGCTTCATCAGCATTTAATTACATTTTCTTTTGGCATGCCAAAGTTTTTACTGCTGCCATCACCCCATTCTACGTCCTCCCGCCACCATCAAAGCCATCATTGGGGAGCAGCATCCAAGCCATAAATGGGTGTGAACATTGTCAACTCGGAGCCGAGCTAAAACACAGAGCGCTCAGTGCAACAATTTTACTTATCGCTATTTTTAGGGATACTCTTTGAAGAATGTACATTTGTATCTGTGTATATGTAATACCAACCAACAGATCTATCAGATGAACTATCAAGCACATTTAAAGCATTTCAAGTGTTCAAATTAAATCTTAAGCCTTAAGCCAATTAAAAATAATTGCAAAACATCGAGAATTTCGCCTGGTACCAAAGAAATTTCACAGAAAAGTTATGGCAATGTTTCAATTCTGTTAACGACCGACTAGATTTCACAAAAGAATACTTTTCAATTAGACAACATAATTTGTAGTTTTAGGCATATTTTCAACCTCCCATTTTTTGTTGCTTTCGGATTGGAGTGGAGCGAATTGAAATCTGAGGAATAATTGCTGTTTCTCCTTTCTCTGCTGCTCCGTGTTCTGCTTATCATTCTCTGTCTCTCCTCTCTCTTCTCTTTGTTCTCTGTATATCCTTTCCTGCTCTTTTCTCCCACACACATATCGTGGATGGAAAACCACACTTGTAAAAGTTTAGCTCTAAGTTCAACTTTCGGTCGAGACTGATACAGAGACCGAGACCGAGACAGAGACAGAGACGAACGAACGAACTTTTAACTTATCTAATTTCTTGGCAAGTGTCACGTTTTGGCATTTGTCAGGTGAGGGCGTGGCAGAGTGGGAGAGAGACAGAGAGATGGATAGAGAGGAGGATAGACAGACAGACATCTCATATGTATGAAATTATTTCTTTGTTTGTGGCATACCCCAACTCCAACTTTGTCTCTCTGTCTGTCTCTCTATCTGTCGTGTCTACTCCGCACATGAAGCTCAAAAGTCAGCGACTGCAAATTGACAGCAGTTACACTTCGTTAAATGCGGCATAAACCAGGGGGCTTGGGGCCAGCAGCTGCCACGGAGTGAGGGGATATAGAGAGTGAGAGGGTTCGTGGGTGTGTTGGTTGGGTGGCAGCTCTGGGAGACCGCAGATGTGTCATTGACTTAATAAAATCAAAATCAAAGCCAAAGGCACGCACATGCCTCAAGGCAGAGAAGCAAGAGCAGAATGTTGCGGGGTAGCAGGAGGAGTATAGGCTGGGGGTAGGAAAATCCAAGATTGTTGGTGTGTGTGTGTGTGTGTGTGTATGTATGTGTGGAGTGTGTGGTATCCGTGTCTCGCTAATGAACAGCAAATTTGCAGAGCTGCTTGTTTTACCCCATACTCCCACTCCCTTTCTGGGTCTCTCTCTCACTCTCTAGTCGGATCTCGTAGCTCTCTCGGGGTGCCCATCCCCCACTGTGTGTTCTCCTTGTGCTTAGTGTTTGGCGGGGACTGTGGACTGGGCGTGTCAATGCTGCTGACAAGCGTAAAATTAATCGAGAAGCATTGCCAGATCGGGGGTCAAAGCTAACTATAGACCCCCCTACAATATGTCTCTGGATACATATGTATCCAGAGGGTAAAAGGGTAAGAAAATGAGCCGTATAACTGCCATCTGCAGCCCACTGGCTACTTAAAAGTGTACCTGAAATATGAGTGGAAAAATAAGAGGGAAAACTCCCTTTCGCCCATTGTTAAACACATCAGCAAAACTCTTGAAAAATACTTCCCCACAACAACGAAAGAACTTCTGCTGTATGGCTGAGTGAGGATATGTGTACATGTGTATGTGACTGTGTGCATCACTTACCTGCCACAACCGTTTCGGAGCGCTGCAGCCGGACGAGGACATGCTCGATAAGGCCAACATCTGTGCAGGCCTGCAGATTGCGGACGCTCTTACGCAGAATCGCTATGAATACACTCCAGATTTCCGCCTGAAAAAAGAAAGAACACAGACACACAGTTATGGCAGAGAAAAATTCAAAAAACCAAGACAGGGAAAAAGTATTAGGACATCAAAGTATCAAAAGTTGTTCTTTCTCAGGATGATTGCTGCTGCCGTTGCTGCTGCTGCTCAATAACCAAAAGTGGTGCCCCACACAGATGCACGCATAAATACTCTCTCTCACACACACACAACTTCTCTCTGAGGCAGAGCAAACAAAGGGAAAAAACGAAAAAAACAGATATAAGCAGCTCACGCGTTCAAAGGTATGCAACACTTATCTGCTCTGCCTCCTTCTCTTGCTGCTGATGTGTGAGTCTATGTGTATGTGTGTGAGTGTGCCTCTGTGTGCGTGTGTCTAATGTAAACAGTCATTGAAATAAAGTAAAATAATGGAAAGTAATGGCAAAATAATCGCAAGCCAAAGACAGAGTTTTCCTTCCTTCCTTCCTTCCATCCAACATTCCTCCTTCTGCTCCTCCTCCAGCCGGCTCCTTCGTTTCGGTATTATTGCCTCAATTCTCAAGAACAAAAAACAAAACGTTTGACGGTTTTTTATGATTATTGCCCTTTCACACACACACATATACACAGCAGTCAGAGATAAAAGAGGGAGAGAGAGGAAGAGAAGATTGCACATTGCACTATGGGGCATTTGACCACTTTTTGTGGCATTAATTAATAACTTCCAAACGAAACAATATTTTTTTATTTAGTTTTTTGATATGAGTATATAATAGTGAAAGGACGGTTTGCTGAAATGGGCGTGCCACCGCCTTTTCTTCAGGGCAAAAGATGTGCCCGGATTTTTAAAAATGGAAAAGTAGAAGATAATCGGGTTTTTACATTGACTTCCTTGTATACTGCAAGCAGCTTCTTCTCTTTGAGTTGTTGAATGTGGGACACAATAGGACTGCACGGCAGTGCAGAGATACTGGAAATGTCTCAACGTTATTATAATTGTACAATTGAGCACGAATTTCTTCGGCACAGTTTTTTTCGATTTGTTTCAAGTTTCCGTGAAAATGTTCAATTTAATCGACAAACTGTAAAAAAAAGTTCTTCAAAGGGTTCTCAAGGCTGGTGACAGGTATTAACACTTAAATTCAATGCAAATCGGCATCATCTTCTGCAATTTTCTTCTTCACTCAGTTTAACATTGCAAACAACTCCGAAAATCTCCGAACACTTTGTAAGTCTATTTAAGACAAATTTTCCTCACAAATAAGAACTTGTTATGAAATTAGCCATTAAACATATTATAATACCTGCCTGAATCGAGAATATTGTAAAAAATGAATTTAAATTGGTAAATTTATCAATTTTTGCACTTTAAACTTAATGAACAAAATCAGTTTTCCGATAACTTTTCATCGTTCGTAGCAAACAGCTGACTTTAGCAGCTGTTATCTTAACAGTGGTACTGTTAATTTTTTGGGTACGTAACATGACGGACTGATGTTATTCCTATGTATATCTGTTAAAAAAATATAATTTTTTTTTCTTTTGACAAATGAGTTTCGGCCAGAAAAAGTGGTCAAATGCCCCATAGTGCATTGATTGGGCATTGCAAGGAAGCAAGGAAGCAAAGCGAATATCATTTTGAATACTTATAGATGTGCACCCTACCATTTGAGGGTATTTCCCATGTAAATAAAAACTTTGCCACACAGAAAATGTCAATTATGGAGAATTATGGCATGTCTTCTGCTAAACGATAATTATTACTCATCAAATTATTTCTAAAATTGTTGCAAATAAATTGCAATAATCTAAACCTTATGGTAGTGTATCCAAAGCGTCGTCCACCCTATGGAAAAATGGCTTTAGCTGTTTGATTTTTTTATTTTATGTGCGTTTCCTCTTTCCATTTTGTGTAATGAGAAATGAAATGGGCATGGGGAAAATGTCTGCAAAGGAGTTCGCAGAATGGCATACAAATTATGGGCTTAGGTGTGCGGCTCGCTTTGGAGGCTAATGATCCCTTTTAGGCATGTTCATCAGCTAAGTGCAGCTAAGTGAATAAATGTATGTATGGGCGTGCAGGAAGTCAGTTAGAAACTGCTAAAATATTTGGAGAATTGGAATTAATTCTGTACTGTTCAGTTTTGTCGCTCTTTAATCGCACAATCTCAACATTCTAACGCCTACCGGTAGTCTTAGTCCATTCAATTTTTTTATCTATGTCTCGACTCGTTTTACGCTTCATTTTGTTTCTAAGCGGGTTCTTTTATCGCGTTCCCTGTCGCTTCCTGTCGCCTACTACTTCGCCTGTTCCTGTTTTTATACCCGGTACACTCGTACATACATATATGAATATTATGTGTGGGTGAGGCAAGGACTCGAAGATTCCATTCGCATCGTTCATAAGCTGCACCACAGGGCACTTATTACGCTCGACATAATGCCCAGCATCCTGATCTCCCTCACCCTCAGTCATGGCTTGGCTTTTTTCTGCTTTTCTAGCATTTTCCCCGAAACAATTCATTTACTTATATCTTATTATTGTTTGCTTAGCAGTCGGATGGCAGAATTGCATTGACCGCGCAGATGATTTATTTAAATTTAATCAAACACCAGCAACGGATTTCTAGGCAACTCTGCCGTCGTACTTGATCACACTAAATATTTGTTAGAAAACACTAAAAAAAAAATCGGGAAACAATTTAAGTACAAGCCGGCCTTTATTTATCCGTACACTTTACTCATTGAGTAATTTATTTCTCAAAATTTAGCTTATCAGAGATTACTACATTGTTCGAATCAGCAAATTTATATATTTTGTCAGAAGCAAAAAGGAATTCTAAGAGGTTCGTAGAAGTGCAAAAATTCCATAGTCTTGTGCATGAACTAATATTGTTTCCCCTCTTGGCAGTCGACAACTACAACAAACTACAATCAAGATGGATATTTTCAACGCACGTCTAGCTGAGGTGATCAATTCTGGGGAGTACTTCGTGGGCTTCAACGAGACCCTGAAGGCTATGCGCAAGGGGATGGCCAAGCTGGTGATCATCGCCGACGACACCAACGTCGGAATGAAGGCCGACATCGAGAAGCAGGCCAAATCGAAGAAGGTGGAGGTGTTGGTCTTTGCTGGCACCGTGCAGGAACTCGGCCGCGCCTGCGGAAAATCTTTTACAGTGAGCTGTATGACCATAACAGATCCAATGGCTGCCGGGATTATTTGCTCCTTGGTCGATGGCTTTTAAGCGTTTCTTCAACCAAATAATCAATAAAATAAAATGACTTGACAAATATTTTAACAGCAGTTTTAACTGTTCTTTCTTTCTTGAAGCTTTAATTTCTCGAAGACTCGAAGAACAGCGAAACTGTTTGCTCTTTGCGCTTTGTTATTATTCCTCTACCTGATAAATGATCTCCAGAGATGCGTCTCAGCTGGCCTCTGTGTCCGTCTTTCTTTATGTGTGTTTTACATATTTGCGAGTATTTCCTTTTTATACCCGGTACTCGAAGAGTAAATAGGGTATATTGTATTTGTGCACAAAGTGAATTTTTGTAACGCACAGAAGAAACGTTTCCGACCCCATAAAGTATTTATATTCTTGATCAGCATCAATAGCCGAGTCGATTGAGGCATGTCTGTCTGTCCGTCCGTCTCTACGTCTGTCCGTCTTGTTGAGCGCCTGGATCTCAGAAACTATAAAAGCTAGAGCCACCAAATTTTGCATCCAGATTTCTATATGCTCACACTGTTACAAGTGTATTTAAGAAATGAGCCCCGCCCCCTTCCGCCACCACAAAAGGGCGAAAACCTCCCAAACCTACAATTTTGAAGATAAAAGAAAACTAGAAACGCCATTCCGTAGGGAATGACCATATCTATCAGATCACCAAATTGGGATCCTAAACCCACCCCGCCCAGCAGCTTATATTTGTTTTTGCACATTGTCTCATTCAAACTCTGCTTCGAGCAGTTTGCGGCCTCTGCCTCAGCCTCGGCCTCTGCAGTGGATTTGCAGTGTGTGGCTCTAGGGAGGGGAGCGAGCTAAAGGAGCGTGTTGGTATGAGAAGTGTTTTAGATGTTGTTGACAGGTGAAGAAAAAATTTAAAATTTGACAAAACACCGCTAAGGTGCAGATGTAGTATTGAGTGCCGGGTATAAAAGTTGTGACGTGAAAGAAGCGTCTTACACGTCCCTTCTCGTTTTTTTATTATTTGATTCCATTTAATGTTGCTGATGGTAAGAAAACAAAGTTGATTTGACGCCATTGCGTTTTGTTTTTACAGCATTATTTCTTAATAAGCGCCAAACGGCCTCGTCGACGTCGTTGTCGTCGGCGTCCTTCCGATATTTGCTCAACTTTTATTCGCCCGGCAAATCCCCTTGAACAATTTGTTTGCCGTTTCAGACAGGGTGGGGCAGGCAGGGCACGGCAGGGGTGGCTGGAGAGCAGGAGGTGGAGGCAGTGGGAGATAAAGCAAAAATTAAATAATAAGAGTAGAAACTTCAGTCAGATTTTATTACGTAATTGGGTAGCAATTTCTTCATGGCACAACAGAGCCAACCAGCAACCCAGGGATGCAGGATGCAGGACGCATGAGCCGGAGACGGAGATGGAAATTGAGGAGGAGCCGGCGCAGGCCAAAAGATGCCACAGCCACTGAACACAAATTAAATTTGGCCTTTTCTCAGTCTCCTGTTACTCTGTTATATTTTTTTTTCTTTACTTATCTGTTTCCTCTCCTCTTTGCCTCTTCTCCTTTGGGTTTCCCCTTAAGTATGCCAAAAGAAACAGTGGGGGGTGGGGTGTACGGACTCGAGAGTTTTTCTTGCCTCCTTTGAGGAACCCAGTGAAGCGTATGCCGCGGGGGCCCCCAGGATAAATTGAGCATCGCTTGTCCAGCGCTGACCAGGCCAGGTCAGGTCAAAGGCCAAATGAAAGAAAATTAAAAATTAAGCTCAAACTTTCCCCGAGATTTGATACATACATATGTATGTACCATCAATATACATAACATACATAT